GCATGCATCATTTGTGTATTTCTCTTAGTTCTTCGTATTTTTGATTGTACAATATAATAATTCACAAGACAGTTATAATTAAGACCTAATTTTATTCAGTCAATAATTTCAGTATGTTCAATAATGCTTTTGAGTTTGTCAACTGTACAATAATAATCCTTGTTAAAATTGTAAATCCTACATTCAATAATGAAAAGTTTATTGGAATTGCGCTATTGAAAAGTCCCAAATTTCTGTGAAACAACTTTCAGTTGCTATTTGGTTAAATATGATTTGTGACAGTTGATTTATGTGTAAATTTACACCTAGATCTACAAAATAGACTTCCTACTTTTGTAATATTTTTACAGAACATTTAAGGCTATTTATTTGTGTACGCATAAGATTATTTTCTTATGTATTTTCTTATGAAATAGTTAAAAAATGTAAATTATTTGACATGAACTCGATTTCTGAAGTAATATTCTAGTCACTGTGTAACTCACTCCTGTGTTTAATCGTGCAGAATTTGAGTTAGATTTGATCAAAAAGTTTGATAAAACAGTTATCCAGTGGTGTTTAGCTGTAGTTGATCTGCCATCTTGTTTTAATCAATGAATAAACTATTATTTAAATTAGTGAAATCTCAGGTCATCTTCAGTCTATTTTTATCAATGAAAGCTGGTCGCCAAATTCTGCAAAATTTGTTGTATTGAATGGATAAACTAGTGAAACTAAGTTCTTTTTATTGGTTGCAACGATGAATTATTCAAAAGTTGACTAATATTCTATTTTATCAAATTTATTTTATTGTAATCAAAAGTGTTCGATCTAGTGTTGACAAACATATGGACATATTCTAGTAACACGGATATATTTAAATCCCAACTGACTGAAGACATGAAATCTACTGTCCAACCAGTTGAGTTATTTAAAGAATTCTAAAACGTATTCAACTTATAATGATCAATTTTTCGTTTAATTATATCTTATTACCATCAGTAAATGTATTGATTTTGTCTGTTAAAGTTTCCGGAAAATATTTATAAGTCAAAATTTGTTTCATTTAGTCACTTTCTAACACTCCAACCCATGGTTTTAAAAAGGATTTAGAAGCTTAACTTAATTGTTCTCAATCCTTACCAAACTGAATGTCTAGAAGTCAGCTTGTTATGTTATCCTAAATGTCAATTTCATACTTTAATCTCTGTCTTGTAAACCTCCTTTGTAGTCATGAAAGAATTGTTAGCAACCATGTTGTTCAAATTGTCACAGTTGAGAAACCAACTCAAAAACATTTCCATTGCAATAATTTATGTGAGAAGTTTAAGTTCCACCTATTAATAATTAAAACGAAGAAAAGATTCTATCAATTATAATAAAGTGAGAAGTGTACGGGTATTACTTGAAGCAGCTAGTGCGATAGTGAGTCTTCAATCGATACTGTTAGCATAAATATTACGCACGCCAGACGACTTCGACGCATGCATTTTTGTAGTAAGACTGAGCATGGCAAACTGAAGGGTGGTATCTGTCCATGAAACTGTTTAATTGGATCGTGTTGGTAGGTTCAGACTACCTGCCTGATTTTTGTAGCTATAGGTTAGAAACGGGTAACGTGACTCAGACTCGCTCTCAATGGCTCAGATACATTCACTTTTAGTCTTCTCTTGGTAACTAAGTTTCTAAACCATCTTGTATTCTTTTTGGATTACAGTAATCTATATTTTTTCAAATCATATCATTAGTACTAATCTACCAGTAATACTGTAACTACCGATTTGATTGATGTGCTTTTGACAGTCAGTCACTTTGAGAAGAGGATTTCATGTATCCAGTTTTTCTACAGCATTTGAAGATTTAAAAAGGATGCTTACAATTATCTAATTATAGCAGGTCCTGATTGATATACATCTCTTTTGGGATATAATTATTTGAAATCTACGTTCTTGTTCATTACTTTTAATGATTTAGAGTTTTTATAGTGAAGAGTACTTCTTAACGATCATTTGAAATAAAATGATTCAGGTTCAAATGAAATTTAATTTGTACAGATCTGAAATGTTGTCGGATAACATTATTCTGATCAGTTGCTAATTTACATTCAGTCACTAGTAGTTGTATATTTCTCTTCACTAAGAAATAAACTAAGGACATAGCAAATGTTCGTGAAGTATTTTACATGAAGAACATTGTTTGATTAAAAGATTTTTAAGAAAAGACGTCGTGTGTAATGTAATGAGATATTTATTTGAAGTAATTCATAATATATGTCTATCATTGGTCTAATTGATGATTGAATGAGGTCGTATACAAAGTGTTAGTTTCTGTTACTTTATAAGTGTATTTCGTTTTTAAGACTCATTATGCGTAGAAGTTATGTTTGCATCATCTTAGCAGTCGAAATTTAAACGATCCCAAAGTTTCACCCAGAAAAGTAGTACGAGCTTCTTCAGAGAAATTGCAGTAATTCAAACCCAGGAATGATTTGTCATCAGACATGGTTCTAATATTAAGTTTATTTCACTTTAAATATATATAAAGAACAAGTAATATGTAAAAAATGTTTCTGGCGATGTGTGCATGTTTTATAAACTCAACAATTCATTAGTAATAATTTGAATCGAAGTTGACTCTCTGAAAAGTTATCGAGTTTGAAATACAATATTGGACGAAGTACAGAATTTTTCAGATTGGCCATGAAGCAATCAGCCAAGAGAGGGCCCAATGGAGACATTTTACAACCTGTTAAGAATCATATCAATATATATAACTCTCTCGATTCCTTTGACTATGTCGAAACAATTAAAAATATCGACGTAATTGGGAAGAAAATGATCTCATTAGATGTCACTTTGCTTTTTACAAATGTTCCGCACACAGAAACTGTTTTTTATGTGACTATATTGAAATCAACAACCTTGATATATATATCCCTTAACATTATCTAAAAGTATTACTTCTACGATGTACGCTCAACGTGCAGTTTGGATTTAATGATGATTTCTGTAGACAAACAGATGGGGTTGCAATGGGTCCTCCGTTGGGCCCTCTCTTGACCGATTGCTTCATGGTCAATCTGCAAAATTCTGTACTTCGTTCAACAATTGAGAGATTTCATTTATATAAGAGATATATGGATGATACTCTCATTATTTGTGAAGAAGACATGGATCTAAATGGAATTTTCAAAAGTTTCAATAATTGTCACTTTTCAATTCAATTTACTTTGGAAGCAAAGGCAAATAATGAATTTCACTTTCTTGATGTTCGATATGTCTGATGGGTTTTTTTACAGTGATCTATATATAAAAACCTACTTGGAATGGTCAGTACACTAATTTCCATAGTTGGGTCCCATTGAGTAGAAAGAGGAACTTAATTCACTCTTTATCCTCTAGGATCAAGCTAATCTGTTCCACTAACACAATAGATGAGGAACTAATTCAACTTCGACAAACTCTCATCAGAAACGGTTATCCACCTAGATTCGTCGATGGTAACTTAACACCTAGAATTCATCATGAGAAAGTATTGATAGTACAAAAGAAAACCCTGTTCATGAATATGGAATTTAAAGGAGACACGACTGCTGAAATCTTAAGTAAACGGATTTCAAAATCATTGAATAAAACTTTCTACACAGCCAAGCCGGCATACCATTCCTGGATGTGTTAAAGATAAACTTTCGCTTTGGGCCACATCAATATGTATTTATAAATTTACGTGCTTATATGGGGCTCTTTATATAGGCTGAACAACGATCACTTTCCAAACGCATCTCAGAACACTATCCGCCTTGGCTTGTAAAAGGAGAATGTAAGATAATCACTAGTTCTACACAGGAGCATTTAATCAATTATGAACATACCGCTCCCAAGTATTCTTCTTTTAAAGTGATCTATAAAGCCAAAGGAATTGGATCGAAGGGGTGTCGAATCAATATTCTATGCACTGCTGAGGCATTGGTAATTAAAGAATTCAAGCCCGAACTTTGCGTGCAGAAACGATTTGTCCAACCTCATCCTTCCTTGGCCCTAATTCCCTTAATGGGTATTTTTCTGTTTTTTCCGCACTTTTATTTGATTATTATCGAATTTTTAAAATTACTATTTTCCATTTTAAACTCTAATCAGTTATTACTATTATTATTATTATCAGAATGTGTTTTGTGAGGATTTTTAGAAATTTGCACAGATTGAAATCATGAGTCAGTTGAAGCTATGGTGGTCTAGCTTCAACTGACTCATGATTTCAATCTGTGCAAATTAATATTATTATTATTATTATTATTATTATTATTGCCTCATACAAGTTTTCTTGATTATTATGCAGTCTATTATTGTAACCTTTGTATTTGTCGCTCTTCTTCATATTTGTCAATTGGACTATTATCTGACCCATAAACGACTTTCTTCCTTACCCCGTGATTAGTACGTAACCTCATTTGTTATTTATCCTCGAATCCATTTTGGTGATGCAATTTTTTCTATCCACATATAGACGTACATATATACGAATATACAGCTTGAGTGAGTGATTTCGTCGAAAAGAACATTTTCTTCACTGGATTCTCTTTTTCTTATTCAAAATTTTAGTAGTTGAATTCATGAGTCAATTAAGGCTAGACCACTATTGAAAACCTTGGAGCACTGGATGGCCGTTTCGTCCTGGCTTCAATTGACTCATGAATTCTACTATTAAATTGTTGTAATAACAGCAAAACCCCTCTCTGATTATGAATCATAACAGCTTATGTTGTTTTATCTCTGTTTGGTTTCACCCACAGATTCCGTAAATGAATTGAAACACTCTCTATCCAGATAACTAATATCTTTTCGTAACTAGAGTGTTATAAGTATCCTGAATAAGAGTACTATTTTGCATACTGATACATTGTAGTACATTTGATCGTCTCTTCAATGCAACAGATATAAACGAAGGTCAGATAATTATTTGTTTTGTTTTTTTAAGAGTCCCTTTTACTTCTTAGCACCATACTAGTGAAAACTATTCAACTTGCTGTCTAACAGTACTGAATTGTCAGTTACATAATTTAATATACAAAGAAGTGATAAAGAGTGATACATTATCCTGATAATTTATAGTTATTCCATTATTAGTAAACCAATTAATTAACAATATTATCTTTAGATAAAATACAGTAATGTAATTCAATTTACAAATAATAGATGAATATTGCAATTAACTTGTATGTATCTGATATACACAAATTTACAATCTATAAATTGATTTTTGTATGTCTTCAACAGAAAAAAATAGATATCATGTTCCGATTGAAAAGTTTATCACAAAAATATGAAATTTATTCGAGACGGATTGATATACTTTTGTATAGATCTTTCAAAAACTAAGGAAGATAACAAACCAAGAATTTTTATGACAAAATTGAAGATATTTTATGAATATTGTTTTCTTTTCTTTTTTTAAATTAAACTTTCCGGCTAGTGTGTCATATGTTTGTTCATTAATTGATCAATCACTTACATCCTTTTTAGTTTCCGGTTGTCTTGATTCCTACAACAATAACAAAACAAGAGTAGAAAATGTGGTAGTTTGGAAAGAAATTTCAAGATCCTGAACAACGATTCATTTTGTGACTATCTGAGTTGATATTTAGCTTGGAATTCTTTGAAAAGTGTGCATATTTGATACAATATCAAATAGTGAAACGAGTGCTTCTTTCACAAATCGTTTACTGTAGATAACGAAAATATCAGAGAAATTCATACCACATGATATCTTAAGGTAGGTTAATGAGATCCCGCATCTTTATAGCTATAAGCTGTCTTTTGAATGACTTCATCTTAGAATAAATGAATAATAAAAGTTCAGTTTCGAACCTGTTTCCTTGTTAGTTGTTTAGATGGTTGTTGGCAAGAATCACTAAACGAAATAAATCCATCTAAATAATCGTCTAAAATGTTGGTTTAGAAGAAACTGATGTTTGTTTGAGTAGATTAAATATCAAATATTGAACACTAACTACGTGTTTTTACAAAAAATTCATTTCCCTCTTTTCTACCATCATCTATCCCTATTTTTGCATAACAATGAAGGTTCACTTACTCGACATCTAATAAATGGAATTTAGAAACAAAGAAACATTTATGTAAATAAACTATGAGTAAAAAGTACTAAGTAGACAAATTTATTAGTGAATTAAATAAACAATTAAAAGTCTAGACTTGTAGAAAGATTGATAAAGTTATGATGCATTTCCGCTGAACAGAATACGCTGACTTGTAAATCAGGACGGAAATTTTACCTGCTGACGCTCCAGCCCATACAGAACTTTTTTATTGAATCTGGATATGATATAATTTTTAGTTTAGTGAATCTGTGAGCTGAAGTCTGAGAATAAACAGATTGATATTGATTCAGTGTGGCATCTTCATAGACCTACCCACTTTAGCTTTGATGATTTGAGTCCATGCTATACTCATATCAGTCGATTTTATCCTAAATGATACATCTGTCACTGCTCGTGATCTAACTAACAATCCCAGAGTTTAAGGATGCGAAACGTGTAATAATGGTTTGTTTGTATGAACAGATAGTGAAGGTGAGTAACATTGAGATTAGGTACTTGATTCAAGTAAATCTATCCACCTGCTTGATTTAATGTAAGCGGTGCAGAGCTGAAGATATTAGTTCTTTTGTGGAGTTAGAAATTATAGAGTACAGAGTTGGCTATTACATACAGAGTTGTTTAAGGTAGCGTTGATATTCAGACATACAACTACCAAATATGGAGCATCCGCCTAAAATGTTGGTCAAAGCTATATCAATGTTGAAATTTAATCAAAATACGGAAATAATTTCAAATGAACCATATATGATGAGAAATATTTTCGTTATGGCATAAAAGTAGCGTGATATTTATAATTTTGTTACATTACAACAAATGGTATCAATAGTGTGGTTGCACTTGATAGTTTAAATAAATTGAACACTGGGTAGAGAGTTAATAATAAATAACCAAGAATTTTTCTGTCGGTTATTCATTTACTCTGAAGAAGTGGTTTACATTCAGCCACGGAACGTCAGAAACTCAACTTTCCTACTCATCGGGATACAACGAAATCATCGCTATGATAATGACAAGTGGTTCAATTTTATTTATTGTTCAGTGCCTACGCTTGGTCAGAAATCTGGTGATGGTTAGTTGTGATCAGTGAAAGAATTACCAAAAGAGAGTATTGGTTCACCCAGTTCATACGTTGAAGTGTTAGTTAGTGAATGTGATATTTGGCTAGATCTTGCAATGAGTAATGACCCCATAATGTAAACCAAATCTAAAGCTAAATGCTCAAACAGCAAATTAAGAGAAAGCTGCAGGTTCTTAAGACAAACAGATGTTAGGAAAATAATGTTGAAGTAGTAAACACTTATTTCTTCAACCAGAATATACACCAGCATTTCCAATATAACGATGATGAATAATAGTAAATAGAAATATACTTTCGATCATAGGTGAATTTACCAAACTAATATCCAGAAGGGCTTGCTTTGCCAGGAATCGTTCTCGTTGAATACGTTCTTTCAAACTACTTGGAACATCTGGGATGAAGAAATCTAGAGCGTTCGCCAAAACAAATGCCACGTGCTATAAAGTTAAATATGTGGTCGTTAATGAAACCAATTATCTACTAAGATCAAAGTAAATTAAGTGAAATGTGTGTAATCGAACCAATTACTGTTAGAGAATATTATTAAGTTCCGTTGGTGATTTTCCTGATTACTTGTTGCACCAAAATAAAACAACCGACAGAATTAAGACAGCAATTGTGTTTGAGATGCATTCAAAGAAACTGAGAAGACAAAAGTCCCAATTATGTTTCATTTAACTGGACAATTTTGTAACAGAATCATTCGGGTGAAGAATATTCACTCATTGTGAACAAAATTAAATGTTAAACAAATGTGGGGATTTTCGACTAGTTTATTCATTGAACAAGGCGTACTGTAATTGAGGTAGAACGTTTGCATTTTATCTCGTTGTTATGTTCTTACATAGTTGAGCGATTGCTCAGTTCTTTTTAAATTGTGGAACCAAAATAATTCAACATTAAAAGAAATAGTGCTTTGTTTTTTTTACTAGAAATTCCCAATATTCTCGAAAAGAAAATTTGGAGTATATGATTTACTGGAATTGCACAAAATCAACCATGTTTATATCATATCGGATCACATCAAGTATCCTACAAGCAATTTTGATTATGGTTAATTTTGGTTATTTAACAGACAATGTTATTTGAATAATAACAATTCGCATGTTTCTTTGTTCTGTTAGGGATCACTAGTTCACCACATGAATGACACTTGCTAGAATGTTGATTACTTAAATATCACTCGATGATTCATCCTCCTCCCCATGTATATAAATGTACTCAATTCATGTTGTTAAACTTTGCCTTGACTTGCTGTGCCCTAATGTGATCTGACTATAAATTAATTTGCCTATGAATTGGCTCGTACATGCATATTGACCTCTCTGCTTCAAATTCGCTGGATGTGCTTATAGCAATGTGACCTACTTCCCTATCGGCTAAAAAACTGTAGTTGCCGCTTGCCATTGGCTTCTGATTTGAAACGCCGTTGAAATTTATGTGATAACGGTTTCAAGGGTGATTGGGTAACGAAGCGAAGCCACTACATGTTTAGCAATAAGGAATACGATGACACCGATAAGTTTACTGTTTATCTATATTGTAAGAACCTGTTATTGTTTTATACAAAGTGTCTTGTAACAAGTACTGTAACGAGAAACTAAAAACACTACATACATGAATAAGAATATGAAAACTGGAAATTGTGTTATGTCACGTAAGCATAGTTGCCCTTCCTATTATACCCATCTATCAAATGAACAGACTAATTCAGCAAACTGCTTAACAAAAATCTATAAATCATGCTGCTATATTGTATTAAAAATATGATGCTTATGTGAAATAGACTATGGGTATCTCGGACAATATTTTAGTAGTTCATATACACATGTTGATAAAGTTACCTCGAAAACGATTACGAACGCCAGACGGAGAGCCAAAAGTCTCCAGAAAAACATCGAATATTCACCATTATTATCCCGAAAAGCTTTATACCTGTAAAGTATGGAAAACCAACTTATGCAATTAGTGGATGCCTTTACATAAATTGTTTAATCCATTAAACCGAATGGTGCTTTTACAGTTAATTTGTATTTTTGAAAAGGGAAGTTGAATTCTACATATAAAATCACTGTATATTATGATTTACTATTTCGAGTGGAATTTCCGGAAGGAATTTTTATGACAGTTGTACTGATTTCCACCTATGAGAATACCACTTGCCTGATTTATTACATTAAAAAGTATCAGTTATTTTTTATATCGTTGGTCAATGTATACACTAGTTTAGATGTGACTGTTCTTCATATATAGTGTATCAATCTTTGAAATTATGATTTCTGAGAACGCCGTTAAATAGTTCCATAATTGACTCGAGAGAATTTTTTGTGAGCATAAACTGTTAGCTTTAGAGAATCTTAACTAGAAGGTATTAGTTGTTGATCAAGGAGTGTAGTAGTTTAAACTGAAAAATCTTATGCGAATTGAAAGAACATAATGAAGAAACGAATTATGTTGTCGAATTTCCATTATTTTCTCTTTAATGTACTATTAAACTAATTTAGAATAAGTATGAACATTAATATTAACCCCCATATTTTTCCTACCATTTTATCATCATTGTCGCGACTGCAAATATCAAATTCGCATAAGTAGTTTTTCAAGGGAGATTTTTTAAATAGAATAAACTTTACCTGAGGTAGGATGTCAAAATGATCTCAAACAGTGTTTTGTGTTTCAAATAAAATAAATATACTTTATCTTTTTCTAGTTTTCAAGCCTCATCATGATGATATACACAAGACTATCTTTGAGACGCCTGTCTTCATTTTATAACACTAACTAGATGTATGTGTTTCCCGTTTCTCAAGATATATTTGTCATAATATGGGGGGATTGGTAATATTTATACTTAGAGCTTCAAATGTTTTATTTTCTTTATCTTTAGAAATTCCTAAAATAGTAAATAAACCTGTTTAATTAAATGTACTTCATTATTTTGACAGTTTTTTCTGTTACATTAAATCTCTCTAAAGTTTAAAGACACAAACAACAGTTTCGTTATTCAATATTATTTTACCATCTTTGTTTCTTTGTTCTTTCATAGACTAAAATCGATATCTATATATATGTACCTGCTTTCATGCAATCTAAGGTTTTTTCAATGCTTTTTTTCTCTTCAAAGCTTTTTTCTATCATTGTAAAATATCTAAACTCATGGTTTTTAATTCATCAAGTCAATTATTTATCTCAACTTTCAGTGATTATCATCGTGGTCGTTACTATTATATAGCAGATATCTAAATACTGATGTTAAAAGCCCCTCATATCAGATGTTTATTTCACTTTAGATGTATATCTATGTAGTATATCTAAAAAATTTGTTTATTTCTCTTTATAGACCTATGATATACCATAATCTAAGAGGAAACTGTAAGACCGATGGTTTAATTTAGTTCATTTTATTTCGTTATAAATGTAATCATAAGAACAACTAAGTATTTCTTAAATATCATGAATCAAAAATAGGAACTTATATATGTGAACACTTATTCAGAAAAGTCTCAAGAATAACAGGATGCACTGTGAAGACTGTATACATGGACAGGTTATTACAAATGTCAGCTGTTTACTGACAAGATATATTTGTGACTAAACTAATTATTTGATTGAGGTGTAGTAGTAGAACAAAACAATATTTTGACAGTCTAATTCACAACTTGAGATTGACTCGTGAATTCAACAGTTAAAATACTACAATCTCCATTAATCTTTATGCTGAAAATAATATTTGCTTTAAATTATAAAGCTTGACAAGTTTTACATAGTGATATCTATAATGTTATTAGATTTACAAATACATGTTATGAAATATAAAATAATAAAGTCTACGTCATCATTGATCTTGTTAGCATGATACTTGATTATTATGTAATAAATGTGATAAATATACAGAAGCTATGTTGTTTGAGAAAAAAAAATGGTTAGTAGTCAATTATTTTGGACGTGATTTATTTAACATTATTTATATGATGAACTTTAACACGAATGAATTTTACAATCGAAGAGTAGATTTCGTGTATACTTTGATTGTAGTTGTTGAACCTTTCGTTAAGGTATTGAGATATGATTTTCAGTTATAGCAACGTTTTACTTAGACAAATGAGAAAATATCATTGTTTAACTAAATAGTGATGAAATTGTTTTGAATTTCTTTCAGAATTAGGTTAATATAACAGAATGACATAAGTTTCATTAAATTTTTTATTGAAAATTTATTATCATTCAGCTGAAGTAACTCATTGACCAATCAATCTATTTATTCATCGGTAATATTATATATCATGATGAAGCTGCTGAGTTTGATTGTATATCGCTTTATCTCTGGTTTCATTATACTCAATAGCTACCAGGTATAGCAGGAGTCAGGAGTAGGCACTTTTGTAATTTAATCATTATTCTCTGAATATTAAGTACCAATGTCAAGGTTGAACTTGATAGTGTAAAATAAATTGAGCATTGGGTAGAAAATTCGTAATAAATATATTTTTTGTTATATACAAAATGATATATATATATATATATATATATATATATATATATATGTATATATATATATATATATATATATACCGATGAATAGAAAATTGTATTTCTGATGTTTCGTAACTTAATGCAAGTCACTTCTTCACAGTAAATAAACAACCGAAATAAAATTAACCCAAGTTTAAATAGTGCAAAGGAAACAATACAGAAAATATTTACTACAATCAAAATCATAGTACGTTTGAATTCATCAAGTCAAGTAATTCTTGGTCAAAATGAATTTGTATGATTTGTCACTGTATTAATTTGTGTGTCAGAAGGTGGGTATGAAAAATGTATACAATTCTACAGGGTTGTTAGGTCTTTAAAAAATTTACAAGTTAAATCAACAATAGCCGTACATTCTGTTTTCAGTAATCACTAGATTGATGGTAAAAATAACAAAATAATTCAGAAAGATTTTCTCAACTACAAAGGGAGGAGAGTAGCCGAAGCGTTTCATTTCAAGCTAAATCCTTCTGCTCTCATTAGAAAATAACGCCTGAATATCCATCTAACCTTGTTTGTTTATCTAACAACTGCATTTGATCTTATTAATTTTCAACACAATGTACATGCACACACACAAACAATTTCAACCCTACTACTTTATATATTTTTCATACCCACCCATTATGATTTTCATTGTACTAAAAATTTCTGCAATGTTTCATTTGCACTATTTAAATTTGGGTTAATTTTATTTTGGTTGTTTTTTTAGTGTGAAGAAGTGACTTGCATTAAGTTACGAAACATCAGAAATACAATTTTCTATTCGTCGGTATATACATATATATCATTTGTATATAACAAAAAATATATTTATTATTAACTTTCTACCCAACTGTTCAAGCTTAATTATTACAAAGAGAATGACTAGAATTTATTCGTACTCTGAGATAATTCCAGTAATCATTTTGAACGTTATAAACAAAACATCAGAACTGTTGAATATCAAAATCAATCGACTTGGAACTGTGTTTTCAAACTTTTGGTGTTATTTGGTTGTATATTTAAATCACAACTATAATGGGATCTTAGCTTATTAGTTTAGCGAAATCGTAATAAGTACTAACTTAAGTCACACAAATCGTAGATACTTTACCCATTGCATCCACCTTATTAAACAGATTCTGTTTTCGCTGAGTTCTTCTAGTTATTGCATTTAGCTGGGAATCTGTCATCAGCTATAGCTGTCAATTATCAACATGCAGACAGAATATTTTGAAGACTAAATTAATGGAAAAGGAAAACACATGAACTACTTCTTCTTGTATTGGCTTATATCCAAATTCTATAAACATGTATGGATTTGATTACTTTTAGAAATAAAATTGCTTTGTTTCACAACAAAGTAGTTAGTAGTAAATATCAGAAAATTCACTAACCTGCATGGTTGTGATGTAGTATTCGGAGGAGCCCACGCTAGAGTAAAATTAGTAAATCCTACTAAATCACTTCTAACTTCATGTTTATACATAAGTTCAGGAAGAAAACTTGACCTGAATGCAATGATGAAGGCCTGCAACAATAGATTGAAAAGTACACATACAAAGTATCATTTTCTGAATGATTAACATTTACTCGAATAAGCGAATTTTATTTAATTCATCCGTGATAAACACACGAAGGTTACAAAAATAAGATGCATTATTTTCCTCTACAGATTTTTGAAATGCAGTCTGTCGATCAATACAGGTGCAGATGCCCTAAAAGGTAAGTGGTTAATTGGAATTATGTACTATATTCTGATGAGAAGCATAAAGAAATTGGACTTACGTCTACGACTCGTTACGAGGTCTTATTTACTTTGGTGTGCAAATGGAGTATGAAGTGATAATTGCAGAACAGCATTAAAACAAAATGAAATTCTAATCCACACATACTTAGTGTTTTGTTAGCTGACAATAATCATTAATTCTATTTCAGTCGGTACATATTGTGGTAGATTATCGTATGGATATTAGCTTCACTATAATCTATATTCCCATAATAGCACTTTTATGACTCGGTTTTGATCTTTAAGATCTAAAAAACTCAGGTTTCATGGCTGAGAATAGGGATGAAAGTGAATGTGTTTTTGTATTCAGCAATACTCTGCCTCAGTGTTCATTATTTAAAATACTGCTGAAACATTTGTTTAGTGTTATAATATTGTCGTTCATCATATGGACCAACAGTTTAATAATCTGAAAACTGGTCCTTTTACTAACCCAACCCAGTTTCTTACGTTAATTTATTTTAACTACATAAAATCACTTTAGAAACTAATGACGGGCACCATTTGAAAGCCAGATGCTTGAGTTTATTTGTTTTTGGATTTTCAGCTAAATAGTTTGATTTTAATTTTTATATTTTTATTCGACATAACATCCATTTCTAATTCGTACCAAAGATGTTGACTGAAACGACATAGGTTGCGTTGAAACTGTTATTTTGAATATATTTTTTGTGAACATTCATTCATCTTAAACATTGTTTCATCGTAAATTAATATCAGCTGATAAAAGGCTGGAAGCAAGGCAGAAAGGCCGTTACATCCGAGATAAGAAATATTCAAAAGTAAACACATACGATCTTAGTAGTGGACAGAAAACAAGACCTTCAGTTTTCTTAGTGAGCATAGCACGACTAAACTCCCAAGTCGGAATTTAATCTCTTACTTGTGATATATTGAGTCAACAATAAGCACACAATTATTAGTTATGTTACTCCGCAAGTTTCGTTCATTACAACGATAGCTTTCGCCACGAATAGACATTATCCGAACTGAGAATTATAAAATAATGTATTTGTAATTTAAAGGTCACTTAGGAGTTTACTAAAAGAAACTCTATTGCTTAGAGAGTTGATTACAGAACAAATTGCATAGAAGTTTTTTTAAAACTTACTTACTTACGCCTGTTACTCCTCGTGAAGGAGCATAAGCCGCTCACCAGCATTCTCCATCCAACCCTGTCCTGAGCAATCCTTTCTAGCTCCTTCCAGTTGTTATTCATCGTTTTCATATCTGCTTCTATTATCCGACGAAATGTGTTCTTTGGCCTTCCTCTTTTTCACTTCCCTTCAGGATTCCAAGTTAGCGCTTGCCTCGTGATGCAGATTGACGATTTGCGTAATGTATGTCCTATCCATTTCCATCGTCTTTTCCTAATTTCCTCTTCAGCTGGAAGTTGGTTTGTTCTCTCCCACAGAAGGCTATTGCTGATGGTATCCGGCCAATGGATGTTGAGTATCTTGCGTAGACAGCTATTTATAAATACTTGTACTTTCTTGATTGTAGTTGTTGTAGTTCTCCAAGTTTCAGCTCCATACAGCAGAACTGCCTTGACGTTGGTATTGAAGATTCTCACTTTGATATTGGTTGTAAGTTGTTTTGAGTTCCATATGTTCTTTAACTGTAGGAATGCTGTCCTTGCTTTGCCAATCCTTGCCTTTACGTCTGCATCTGAACCTCCTTGATCATCGATGATGCTTCCCAGGTATGTGAAGGATTCTACATTTTCCAGAGTTTCGCCATCAAGAGTGATTGGATTGTAGTTTTCCGCTTTGAATTTGAGGACTTTGGTTTTCCCTTTGTGTATGCTGAGGCCTACTGATGCAGAGACTGCTGCTACACTAGCTGTCTTCATCTGCATCTGTTCGTGTGTATGTGATAGAGGGGCTAGGTCATCTGCGAAGTCCAAATCGTCTAATTGAATTCGAGCTGTCCATTGTATTCCGTGTTTTCCTTCAGATGTCGAGGTCCTCATAATCTAGTCGATCACCAGAAGAAAGCGGAAGGGAGAGAGTAAACAGCCTTGTCTGACTCCGGTCCTTACTTGGAATGCATCTGTCAGCTGTCTTCCATGCACGACTTTGCACTGTAGTCCGTCGTATGAGTTCCGGATAATGTTGACAATCTTCTCAGGAACTCCGTAGCGTCGAAGAAGTTTCCATAATGTCCTCCTATCTACACTGTCGAATGCTTTATCATAATCAATGAAGTTGGTGTATAGAGATGAGTTCCACTCAACTGATTGTTCGACGATGATCCGTAGTGTTGCAATTTGGTCTGTGCATGATCGATCCTTACGGAATCCAGCTTGTTGATCTCGAAGTTGGGCGTCTACTGCAGCTTTCATCCGGTTCAGCAACACTCTGTTGAAGACCTTCCCTGGTATTGACGGCAGTGTAATGCCTCTATAGTTTTCACATTTGCTCAGATCTCCTTTCTTTGGAATCTTGATGAGGTGTCCTTCTTTCCGGTTCATCGCACTTGTTCTTCCTCCCAAATCTTTTTGAATAGAAGATAAAACATGTTTGTAGTTGCTTCGATGTCTGACTTCAGTGTTTCAGCTGGTATGTTGTCCGGACCCGCTGCTTTCCCGTTCTTGATTTGTCTGATGGCCATCTTGATTTCTTCGGTCGTTGGTGGGTTGACGTCTATGGGAAGATCTGTGCGTGCTGCTTCGATGTCCGGTGGATTCATTGGAGCCGGCCTACTCAGGAGTTCCTCGAAGTATTCTACCCATCTGTTCCGCTGTTGTTGAATTTCGGTGATTGGCTTGCCTTCTTTGTCTTTGACCGTTCTCTCTGGTTTACTGTATTTCCCTGTTATTTTCTTCGTTGTATCGTAAAGCTGTTTCATATTTCCTTCCCTAGCAGCTTTTTCCGCCGTCGTTACTAGTTCTTCCACGTATTTCTTCTTGTCGGCTCTAATGCTCCTCTTCACTTGTTTGTTTGCTTCTATGTATTTAGCTTGTGCTTGGACTTTCTCTGCTCGTGTTCGGCTGTTGTTAATTGCTGCCTTCTTGTTCTTCCTTTCTTTGATCTTGTCCAGTGTTTCTGTAGAGATCTATTCCTTATGATGGTATTTCTTTAGACCCAGAACCTCTTGACACGTTAAAGTTAATGGTTTCTTGATGCCTTTCCAGTTGTCCTCCATACTAGTTTCTTCTTCCTTTCGTAGATCATGTAAAGCTTGGAACCTGTTGTTGAGAACTATCTTGAATTCATTGAGTTTGTCAGTATCGCGAAGGAAGGTTGTATTGAACCTTTGTAGTGCTGTTTGTCTACTTGTCCAGTTCTTTTTTAGCTTCAGTTTTAAGTTGGCCACATCTAGGTGGAGGTCTGAAGCTACGTCAGCGCCTCTCCTGGTTCTCACATCTTCCATTGTCCTTCGGAATTTTTTGTTGATGCAAATATGATCTATTTGGTTCTCTGTAGTGTGGTCCGGTGAGATCCATGTAGCCTTGTGTATACGCTTATGTGGAAATATTGTGCCTCCTATGACCAATTTGTTGAATGCACACAGATTTGCAAATCTTTCTCCATTTTCGTTTCTTTCTCCAGTCCATGTCGTCCTATAATATCTTCATATCCAGTGTTGTCTATTCCGACTTTGGCATTTAGATCTCCCATCAGAATAGTTAGGTCCTTTCTTGGGCATTTCTCAATGACTGACTGCAGCCGCTCGTAGAACCGGTCTTTAATGTCGTCGTTGCTATCATTTGTGGGTGTATAACATTGGATAATATTCATTAAGATCCCCTCCTTCTTTGTTTTGAATGATGCTTTGATGATTCTGGATCCGTGAGATTCCAATCCTACAAGTGCATTTCGTGCTAGTTTGGACAGTATAAGAGCGACTCTCTGAGTGTGTGGAGCATTGTCCTCTTCGTGACCGAAGTATAGCAGCGTCTCTCCCGTAGCTAGCCTTTTCTGTCCAGCTTGGGTCCAGTGGGTTTCGCTGATTCCCAGTACTGCTAAGTTGTATCTCCTCATTTCCATTGCTATTTGACTGGTCTTCCCGGTTTCCCACATTGTTCGAACATTCCATGTACCTATAAAAAAATTTTCTCTGGTTGTTAGAAGGGGCATCGGCCTCGTAGCTTCCGAAGTAACTCGGCTTTCACCATGAAGCGTCATAATTCTTCTAAATGAAGACCTTCTAACTCCCAGGGCAGAGTTTAAATGGTTTAGATTATTTTTTCTGGTAAGCGTTTTTTTAGTGAGTTAGTTTTCTACGGGATGGGGACGCTAACCCCATGCCCAACCCTCCTCCTTTACCCGGGCTTGGAACCGGCAGTAACCCTATAAGAGCTACAGGCGGAGTTTTTTTTAAAACCTTACCGTATAATGTATAGAATATTAGACTAAGATTTTAGCTTACTAGGCAATTATTTCAATCAAATCATACATACCTTGAACTCTTTCAAAATATCACTTTTTGTTAAAAAAAAAAAACGTTTATAAGAGAAATTCAGTAAGTAACAAGTAATTTTTTTAGAAATCTCAGTGTACAAGTTTCACTTTAATTATTTTAGCATAGTTACATACGTCAATGCTACATTATAAATGTTAGATATTATTATTACCTGTCAGTTAAAAATGTGTTGATTTCATACATGAATCAAATGACACATTAAATAATGATAAAAGAATTAAAAATAGAAAAAAATCTGTCTATGAGATATCACATTGTTAGTAGTGATACAAATTTTAAGAATGAAACATAAAGCATGTACATGACAATAAGAATAGATATAAAACATTTCAAATTTGTTCAACCAATTTACAGTTACAGTTCAGTCTGACTAACATTCGTATATTTTTTAAAAAAAACAAAGTAATTTTACTTACATTTGAAATTACAGCCAACCGTACAAGAAATTCTAATATTCTAAACCAAACGCCTATATTTTGTGCTCGTTCCGCCAATGGTCTACGTGTTTCACATACTAATTTTTTGGCATCTAAACGAATTTCAATCCAATTGTTAAGTAACGCAAAGAATGGAGCTAGTGGAAAGGCAGCCACAAAGATTGTAATGAACCCGAATTGAAGAACTATAATAAAGTTCAATGGAATTTAGGTTATAGTTTTTGTTATGCATAGTATTATTTTTAGTATTCAAAATATTAATAAATTCAATTTTATCTAACCAAGTAACCTATTCCTAATCTACTGATTAACTAGGATTTCTACAAAATGTCCAGTGTAATTTATTTGTATTAATGAAGTTTATAATATCCATTTATTTTAATGCTTTACAGAAAATAACTCCAACGAAGTATTTAAATGTACTGACTCACTTTTTTTTCGAATCTATACTATTACTCTACTGGGTAATAAGAATAAGTAGAAATAATTTGTGTGAAACTGTAGATTTGAGTAGTCTATACAATATATAATCAATTTTGTGGATTTGTGGATTAATTACATTTCATAGGCATATTAGAAGCATTATTTTGGAGGAAATATTGAATGACACTTAGATTTTATACCAAATTATTGAGATCACTCACTGATTTATGTTAGATAATCACTGAGAAACTGAAAGGACTGGATAGAAAATTCACTCAAGTAAGGTGATCCTGAGTAGTATGTATCCATGATTCCTATAATTCCTACAAGTGAAGAACATATAGACCTCAAAACAACAATCAACCGATATTGAAGTCAGAATCCTCAACAGTTCTGTTGAGCCGAAACATAGAAAACTACTACAACCATCAACAAAAATGCACAAATACTTATACAAAAGACACTCTATATCTGTTGGCTAGATGCTATCGATAACAACCTGCTGTGGCGGAGAACAAATCAGACATAGAGGAAATTAAGAAAAGACGCTGAAGGTGGGTAGGACACACATTGTATCACGAAGCAAGTACTAACTAGTAATCCTGAAGGCTAAAGTATAAGATGAGGATAAAAGAATACATTGCACAGGGAATAGGAGTAGACATAAAAAGAATAAATAGCACTTCTTTACAACTGGAAAGGAGAGCCTAGAATAGAGTTAGTTGTAAAATCCTGATCAGTGGCCTTTACTCCGTCCAGTAGAGGTAACAGGCTTTAGTAGTAGTAAATATGTATACGTATAATGAAAATAAGTTTATTGGATGAAAACGTCAATGAAAGCTGCTACCTTTTTGAGTAGTTGGACAATAAATATACCATAGCTTATTCCAAGAAATCCCCGTACGACACATTGAGAGAGAGCTTAAGTATTGTGCAAATTTCGTTGGAACGTTCACTCTCTGTGTACTAGATCATTGCAAACATAATCAAAATATTGATACCCTGCTACAGTTTTTTACTGCATTCTTTATAAAAGTGAGATGATCACCCTTAAATTAAAATCATTCTCAACTGCAATTTTAACTGAACTACATTTTTCAAAATACTATTCTGGTGTATTTATTTATAGATTACAGGACTCTTACCTCCCTATAATAACATGTATGACTTCATTTGTGTGCTGAATAGATTTTAAGCACTAGGGTGCCGGAGTTTATCTGCTTTAAATCCTAATGCGAACATAGTGGATGTATTTAGCTGTTATAACGCTCGGAGTTTCCTCATCTTTACAAACGGGACGTTAATTTGCCTTAGACGAATATCTACACTAGATTCCCTCCCAGAGTTTACTCTACGGGACTTCAACACAACTCAGATCAAAAACACTCGATTAACCTGACTAGAATGTAAATATATCTCCACATCAAAAGCCCACACAATCTAGCAACAATCAACAATAATAATAAGGACAGCAGAATATGTAACTCATCTAACGCCTGTCAGACTATCTACAATTTTGACTAAGCAAACAACCAATCATTTTCGTCCACACATCATTAGTTAAGAATAGTATTTTGTTCATCAGCTAGCTGAATTTATTTATTTAAAATAGTTCAGGGAAAATAAATATCCAGTTACTTAATTGTGTTCTTTGATCACTCTGAATTACCACCGTAAACTGTTTCGGTAGCTTTCACCTAACTTTCAAAATAAAATAACTGTTACTATGATTTTCACCCTAAGTTTCCAAATATATATGAATCGCTCTTACGTTCACACTTAAATTCATTAATCGACCGGTAGGAAATAATAGACTTTGGGTTTTGTATTTATTTGCTCATATTAATAAAGATTGTTTGCGACACTGAAGAAATATATTTTTTCCCCAGATATGAACTGTTTTCCTTAGTTGTCATCGTAGTTGAAACTGTTAAAAGTAGGTCAGTAAGTATGGGATAGCTGAAATTATTTGACTTATCTGTCCAATTAGAAATGTATGAAGCTCACCAGTTGATTTGTCATAACAATAGGTATATAAAGAATTATTATTATGATGAAGTGAAAACAAAAGTATATCAGACAACATCAGAAAGCGGAATAAGACGATAAAAGTGTATTCTGTTAAAGGAAGTAAATATATTAAATATTTGAAACAATACTTGTAATTTTAGTATACTTGAATTATGAATACCATTTGAATTCATAATGTGGGTTTTATTCAAATTGTAGCAATAATTATTTAAGAAATTACAATAGTGTGTAGAAAGACTTACCCATTTCAAGATATTCATCAAATAGTCCTTCATATGGTATTAATTTATAGTCTTCAATAAATATATGCGCTGAGCTCAGATCACTAGTTGAAGCAACATTCCTCTTATTTAATCCCTTTCGATATTTATGGAACCAAGCACGTAGTTTACTGTGTAATAATTCAAAGATGAATCAGTGAAATTTAATTTTTTTTTAGTTTTACAAATCATTCTTTCTTAATATTTTTTAATAAATTAGATAAAAAGGAACTTAAACAAAAAGTACCTGGACTGGGGAGTACACGTATTTCCTTAGCTTTGTACCTCTACAGTACAAACGAAACTTGATCAAAACCCTTAGTTACCAAATACGCACTATGTGTTCTGCGGATATAGTTGAAGATGAGCCTAACACCTTGCATGATACTCTTAGGGAGAACACACCCTAGAAAGTTTATAATTAAATATATGATCATGAAGGTGAAAATAGGCGAAATACAAACGGTCAAGAAAAAATTTCTGTTCATGTGTCTACAATTCAGAGAGGATGCGGCTAGTGAAATATTAACTCAGAGATTACGCAGGAAAATACAAAAATCTTTTAACTCCGGAGAACTACGATTAATGTTTTCTACGCGCCCAATGGTGACACCTTGGCTAAAAGATGAACTACCTAGAATGATCACCTCATTTTGTATTTATCAGTTCGACTGCTCCTCTGGAGCAAGTTGTATTGGTCGAAGTTCTAGGGATTTACATTTTTGTGCTCGTGAACACCTCCTAGTGTGTCTAAACAAAGGTTTGATGACGAAAGTGAACAGGTCGATCTTGGCCTATTTAGTACAAACTGGTCATAGTGCCATTATAAACCAATCTTTTTCAATTATTTATGGGGTCAGTAATTTTTTGCCAAAACTTGTCCTTCAAACGGCTGAAGGATTAGCCATCCGGGTGAAGAAACCGGAATTATACGTACAGAATGGCCATCTTCAACCACACCTCCTCCCCTGGCCAACCTCAAGGCCAATCAATCAGTAGTAATCTTAGCTATTGAATGACCTAATTTAACTTTTGTACTTACGACTTTTCGTAGTCAAATGCAATTGTCTCTGTTATCTTTATTCACAAATCTTTGTATTATTATTATTATTATTATTATTATTATTATTATTATTATTATTATTATTATTATTATTATTATTATTATTATTATTATTATTATTATTATTATTATTGATTAAACATCATTATTAATCTTCCCTATAAAGTGGTTCATTCACTCCTCATTCATCCCTCCTTAATACGTCTTACTAATTTTTCACACAGTATAGCCTTCCACTGAATATTTGACCGAATTGTAATTGCACTATTATTTCGCTCACCCTATCTGACCCATATTTATTCTTATCATGGATCTTAAATTTCCACTTAACATATACACAGATTCAAGTTAACATTCTATGAGTCATATCAACACGTTTAGTTTAACAATCTTAAATTGACATGCTTTAAACGATGTACTTTGTCCCTAACTTGACCATTTATCAGATTATTAATTTGTATATATAATTTTAGAACCTGAAGAGAATTTACCGAAAAGATTATTCTTCGTTTAAATATTAGTGTTGTGACGTGTGAGAACTGCAGATTAGAGTGAAGCGTTTATATCGATCAATTTAGTGACATGGGAAACACGTAATGAACGACCTAGAGTTCCGATTGGCCCCGCTTCCCCGTCTAGCCCAGCCAGTTAAGTCCAGAACACAAGTCACAACCTCTGAGATATGAATCGTTATATTTCAAACATACTCTATTTATATACCAACCAAACAGACCACATCGTACCATAAAAATAGAAAACAACATTTTGTACCATATTCAACAAGTGGACAGATATCGACCAGTAGGAAATGTCCATTTAAAGTCCAAGGACATCATTAGACTTAACATGATAATTATTGGTATACTCCTCCGTATCCATAACAATTAGTCTGTTAATATGATGGAGATCTTTAAACAATCAGATAAATGATAAATAGTGGTTCATAGTGATTCCAGATCTAATCAATTATCCTAAATCTTCACTTACTTATTTTTCTTGTAAATTGTTTAGTTTTTTCAGTAGAAGCTTACAGATAATAAAGCCGTTGAAATTTGTGAATTAACATTTTAAAATTACGTTGAACTAGGTTTATAAGATTTAGTAGTTAAAAGTTAAGTGATCACAATCATTTCTACATTTGTGTTATAGTGAGAATTTTCATTTCAGCAAATGAGAAACAGTTTGGATATACTTTGAAAATCATACTTTTTTTTCGCAAATAACAAACTATTCTCATCATTACTGTAGTCTATAACTTAATCCTTCAAATCTGATTAATTTCTAAGATGAAATCATCATAAAAAAACTAAACCATAGACAATGCTTTCTATTAATGAACAAACGTTTTACTTATAGATGGAAAAATTACAGCTATTTCGATATGTTTATTCATGTCTCCTCCTTTCAATAAACTTAACTTTAATTATAAAACTTTAGCAGTATTCACATCAGTAACGCAACATGATGTATAGAAAAGTATTGCTAGATCTATCAGTGTTAAATTTTGATCCATTGTTCAGTATCATTTATTACGATTAGCAGCCTTATTGTATGATATTGCGAAAGGTTTATTTCATTGATTGACTTAACTATGAATTACATATTACCTGAAACTAATCTATACATTTTATGGCTAGTATCCCTTTGGGCTTCAGTCTAAAACTATAAATCTGAGTTCATCAACAAAATGATGATTTCGTCATTGTATAATAACTTACGTAATTGGAAAAGTAGTCATGTGAACCGAGAATTACTGTCAAAAAATATTTAAAAATATTGTGTACTCACGGTAGCAGAATTTCTTGACAATTACTAATGATTTGTTTCCCAACCATTATAACAAGTAATTGTTGGGCTAATTCAATCAAACAACCACCGTTATCGCATGCTTCGTTACGTAGGCCGAAAAAGGATGTATAATGACCAGGATAACCAACCATTCTAGATTTAAAAATATAAGTAATTTTATAAACCTTAAAAATACATCAAACTTCATTACTATGATGTAATACTATATTTACGATCAAATAACAATTTTTCTTAAAGAAAGCAATACTGGTCTTAGAGGGAATATGATAACCAGTTACAAGGAAAGTTAAAATTAACCATATGGTTTAGGATTTTAGTCAAACTTCTTCACCTACAAGGATTATGAAGCACTAAGTATATAACGTGGATAGTGTCTAGCAGTGGAATCCAGGACGCGCGTTTCGTCTTATTTGGAACTCGTCAGCTGGATGTACCTGCATCCCAGAGTTGATGTTCACTCTGGGACTCGAACCCAGTACCATTCGCTTCAAATGCCATCGCGCTTCACACTCAGCTACTGAGTTCTGATGGCCACATCTTGTGCAATAGGGTGAACTTAAATTGACTTGGTATTGTTTCGCTTGAATCTTCCCATTGTTGTTTAAGACTACAATTGATCAGTTTCTCATTGATATATATGTATACTGAGACAATTGATTGAAATTTTGCAAATGAAGTATGTAATATATGGTTCTCATATTTTACTAAGAGATTCTGTAATTTTGTGATCAAATAAATTTGGTTGTTTCCACTTATGTTTTTATTCACGACATAAACGATTGATTTTAAAAAATCGATCAGCAGCACATTATAATTGTGATAAATAAGACGTGACAATGTTACGTTTTAAAAATAGTGAACTTTTGCATCTGTTATGACATAAATACTTCAGAACAATTTATGATAGTGTCACTTAATTGACAATATAATAGTAATACAGTAAATCGTGTGAGTAAATTGTCCGCTCAAATATTCTTTGTTTTTGAATTGAATAGGGTTTTAAAAGTGAGCTAACGTCTGAATGAGATCTTCTTACTATAAGTTCTAATTCATTGTAATGGCTTAGCTTCGATAATCAATCACCTTGATAACTGTTATTATATAAATCCCACGGTGTTCGAAACCAGAATGCAATAAGGAGCGGCGACTGCAGTTTATTTGCGGATAGCACAGATAATAAAGCTACAAGCACATCATATTGAAATCGAATGAGGCACAGCTAGGCAAGGCAAAGGCTAATAATAGGATTCGATTACATATATACATGTGGAGGAGAACGATTCATCCGGCGATATTTAAGCTATCAACATTTAACCTAGAGAGAGATATGTACGTAGTCTGTCATCTGATCAACAGTACACGTTTATACAGACAAGATAGAGATGATAATAGTACAGAGAAATAGACGAATTGTTACCGTTCGAATAACACAGTCTGTTAAGTAAGTTAATAAAAGGGCTTAACCAAAATTAAGCATAATCGGGATTGATTGTAGGAGAGTTGCTGCACATCTGTACATATGTAAATATATTTTAATATCAATATGCAATTGAAACCTGTACATGTGGAAACATTGATAGTGTATTGTGTGATTGACTATTTATTGCAATTGTCGTCGGTACTCGTCCGACGGATGAGATTGATAGTGACGGTGAGTGAGTGTGCATGATATTGGGTCTAGAGAGTTGTTTGTTGGTTTTATTAGTATATTGTGTGTTATGATGTGATTGATTGTGGAATAGTGAAGCTGGCACCCGGGCTCGAACCGGGGACCTCTCGATCTGCAGTCGAATGCTCTACCGCTGAGCTATACCCCCGATTTCGCGACTGTCACAACTTCACTACCCGAACACAACACCACACCACGTTCAACTATAAACACTACAATCAACGCACAACACCACCATCACCACAATCCCAACAAACATCCACACACAAACACTCACACGCATGCTTCGCCTGCACATGCAAACAATCTACCACAAAAACATGAAACACCAACATCAAAAACAATAACAAAATCATCATTAACAAGAACACGCACATTCACACTGCCAACAACCAAGTCAATGAAGGTGTTGCGATGCAAATACCTGATGCCCATTCATACGCTCTCTGGACAAACGGAGTGCTCTCATCAAAGCCAACTGAACACAAACATCTGGTAATCGGTGTTAGAGGCATGTGATTTCTTGAAGTCGGTCGAGACCTACAACAGTGTGTGAGGTCGCGATTCAATCACCAAAAACACAATATCACATGATCGTCTCATCAACACACTTTTAGGTGTGATCGCGGGTGAGCGTGTTGATGAGCATTTCAATGTGTGTCTGTTCGTCGATGCCAAGTGGTACGTGAGGAGGTTACAAACGAGTCGGCCGTGTATAGTATATTAGCAACAACAGCAAAAATAGAATAGCCGATTTTTAGTCTTGAAATAGATATCGTTATTATTATCATCAATTCTTACCAATAAAGGATGATTAAGTTCTTCTGAGGAATAATGAAATTATAATTGTGTTTAAGATCAAATGGTTCCTAAATTTTTAATTATAAACCATAGTGTATTAAATCATTATTCTTGATCAACTCACAGCATTCTATCTTGTTTTTTCAGTCTATTTTTTTATAGTTTCAGATGCGTTGAACATACAACGTCATCAAAACATTATTCTATTTAAAGCATGTCTTTGAAAAAAAAACGTCAATCCAAAAATATACAACAACAACTCACTGTCCTTTGAAAAATGCTACATAGAATATGGATGAATAGAAATTGACAAATTGAAATAGAAAAACTTTAAAAATCAGCTGATTGTCAAATTCACTTTGAGTTCGATGCATCTCTATAAAACAAAACAAAAAATAAGCAAATAAAACTGTATTTTTATTTTACTACTTAAAGTTTAAGGTTTTTAAAATCTTAACATGATATTAGATGTTGATGTTTCAATGATAAAATTCACTTTAATCTGATATACTATTTTGTTTCTTGAAAAGATACCATAAAACCTGTTATTAGTTAACGTTCAAAAGGTTTGTTTTGTTTGACTATCTCTCTCTCTCTCTCTCTCTCTATATATATATATATATATATATATATATATATATATATATATATATATATATATATATATATATATATGCGATTGTCTATAAATACAGTTTATATCTGTAAATGTGTTGTATATTTATTATTGGTTCGTTTAGTTAGTAGAATCCTCCCACTATCATTTGGTTTATTCACTCAAGTATCTAATTTGGGCGAGCATTTTAGAAGTATCTATATCCGAATCAGGCTTAAACGACCTCACATAGTAACATAAAGTTACTCGTCATCCAGCCTCTTTTGATAATAAGGATAGATTTCGATGAAACGTAATTTCATACAATGAAGGATCATAATAGTAAAAAAATTATGAGTAAATTACTGTTGAGTCTATCGAAGCGTCCAAGTCACCCGATTGATATACGCGCAAAGCCGAAGTTTCCAAAACAATGATTTGTCTACAACAGCAGTTCTTTATTAAATAATACACAAAATTTAGTTACAAACCTCAACTTGTGAGGTGTCTAGGAGTTTAAACGCGTCTTTCAAGAATGAAAATAACAAACGCTTCCTGTAAGAGTAACATAAAGAATAATTATAAAATACGATAGTACAAAGGACAGCTGATAGCTGTGTCTAAATTTGATGACAGTTTACGAACAACCGAAACCCGAACCAAGAGCAAATAATATAGAAACAGTTGCGTTTAAACAAATGCACAAAACTGTGGATAACGGCTACAGCGATTAAGATACAGTAATTGTAATTATAAATACAATGATAAGTACAATAAACGCTATAGGTATGTGTGAACATTTCAGAATATTACAGTACAACTTGCGTCACAACATAAGCTTGAAAATTGTTGGGAATACGACTGCTTACTGAATGTAAATAAGTAGTATAAGACAATATACAAAAGAGTAGAAAGGAAACAAGTAGGAACAATGTAAGATAAACTTAACAATTACTCTTTACTGTCCGTTGATGTATTCAACGGGTTCAACTAGAAATGTATTTTGGTCTCATATCCTTTTAATCTTACTATAATAATTATATCTTTGCCAAATTAAATTTCAAACTAGCTAGTCCTAATATTTAATTATACACTTATGAACATATACATTATAATTTTTCAATGAGTACAAATGTAGATCAGAAACGGGTCCAAATCACAAAAATGATGTCAAGGTTATGATTACCGTAAAACGTTTAGTTATTTACGTTTAATACTTTTTTTATAACCTATAGCTGAATAGCAAGTGTAAATAATAAGTTAAAATACTATGCTCAAGGTTTGTAAATTTGTTATTCTTTTGATTATGAATGCAAACGACCATGAGAAACTTTTTATATATTCTTAGGTTGAATCCAGATGTGTAGTCGAATTTATTCCGTTTTTAGATACTTAATAGCCAAATATGAAATTAAATTGAAATCAATTTATTATAAGCATATCAAGTCAACAAGCCGAAAGTAAAGCAGCCAGACGTGTCAAGGCGAAAGAATGTGAAGGACGTTTCAACATAACTATGACTGCATCATACATGAATCACAAATGAATCACCAAATACATTCACAACCAATAAGAAAGTATAATTTAAAACAATTGGTCCCTTTTACGAATTTCGATAGAGCAATTAGAAGACGGAGTTGATCCGTCGGGATCGTGGATACGCATTGCTGAAGAGTCTCACAATAAAACGAAACGGCCATCCGGTGCTTCTAGGTTTTCCACGGTAGATTAGCTTCAATTAACTCATGACCTCAAATATTGAAATTACTATAATATTCTCAAAAATCCCTTCTGATACTAATTTTGTGATTATTGGTATTATTGGGTAAGGGGTTTCAGATTTGTACAGAGGAATGATGTAAAATATTTACCTAAAAAATGTTACAATTAATATTAGTTTATTACTATCCGTACACCTCTGATTTCCCCACTTTTGTTTCACTCTAAAACCTCTGAGTTTTTTCGAATTATAGCAGTTCGAATGACAACAACCAGATGTAGTAATTAGATAGATCATATTTTTATAGCTACATTACTACTATTAATTAATTTATTTACAAACCAGTTAGAATTGTATGAACAATAGATTATCAATTTTATTACAGAATGAGAACAGGGTCACTGAAAATGAAATCACATGCTTAGTTCTATTCCAAACAATTATGCATGTCAAAAAAAGTTTTGATCCAAATTAATTGTTACTTCTTGACCCCTAGAAGACAAACTATAAACTAAAAACTTGTTTTGAGAATGTAAACGTGACGTAGAATGACGTTTTGATATGTTCTGGGAGAATAAAAACTGTATGAATTATATTTATTAGGCTATAATAATCTATTTCACGGTCTTCTTTTTGATTAAGTTTATAATTTAATAATTAAATTCATGAGTAAAATGAAGCTAGACCGTTATCGAAAACCTGGAAGCACTGGATGACCGTTTCATTCTAGTACGAAACTCCTCAGCAGTGTGCATCCACAATCCCGCCTCGTGAGATTCGAACCCACGACCTTTCAGTCTCGCGCGCGAATGCTTAAAATTTAGACCTATAAGCCGACATCCAACGGTGTTAATGTTTAACTTCTACCAATCAACGAAATTATAATTATAAATTAAAATTCTATAATTTGGTTTCAAATGAAGATCAATAAACGTATTAATTTAATAGTACATTTTAATCATTTCGGTAGAGTCCCAGTAATAAAATCACTTGAAATTATATGATATATATATATATATATATATATATATATATATATATATATATATTCGGTTAAGCAATATTTCGAAAATTTTCCGAAATTTTCACGATCAATTTTTTTAGAAGAGAAAAAATTAATCGCTTGAACGCCTCAAGATGGTGATTAATATTTTTCAGCAGCTGAATTCATGAAATGATTTAAGCAAGACCAGCATTGTAAACCTGAAAACATGCGAGACCGAAGGTCTTGGGTTTGAATCCCACGTGCGAGATCGTGGATTCGCACTGCTGAAGAGTCTCATACTAGGACGAAACGGCTATTCAATACTTCCAGGTTTTCAATGGTGGTCTAGCTTACATCAGCTCATAAATTCAAGTATTAAATAACTAAAGTCTTCACAGACCCCGTTCTAACCATAGTGTTTTTTCGGTCAATATTTTGAATTTTATATAACCGTAAGATACTTTGAGAATTTACTGAATTGATTGAATTACATGCTGTATTCGTAAACATCTATTAGGATGATTAGGTAAAACCTTTCGATTCACTTATGAATCATAGAAAACACTGGTTATAATTTTACCGACCTTAGTACCGGAAAAAACATATGTACATACAAAGTTTATCATGCAGACATGTTTTTTTTCCAGAACAACATAATCTAAAGTCATCTTATCTTAATTTGAAGAGTCCTACTTTAAGTAATACTACAATTTATTAATAAGAATAATGATAATACACCAAACAATTTAAACATCACATATATCAAAAATAAATGTGTATCTTACCCCATTGAGTCATTTTATAGGCTAATGTTTCATACACTTTCCCCAAACACATAATCAAAATAAGATTTACAATAGCTGCTGAAAGTGTTGCATATATTTCTGCATTGGAACGAAGTAGTTTATTTTGAAATAATGGAATTTTTATTAAAAACCGATAAATAATTACAGCTACTATGAATACCAATACCAACATAACCTAAGAATGACAAATTTTAAAAAAAAGAGTAGCATTTAGTCTTTAAAAGAAAGGGGTTAGATTTTAACATTTGAAATAATTATTAAGGTAAGAGACTAAGTTAATCTACAATTATTTGAATTATTAGTTTGGATTACTTTAGCCTTAGTAACTGTCGGAATTGCCAAGATACTCACATTTTAGAATAAACTTATATGTGTAAAAACCACAGCAACTGAGTGTTTTGTAAAATATACTTCATCGTTTAGATCCCCCTAGTTTTTTGCTACTGGATATTAACTGTTTCTTTGTGCATTTTGGTTATATCTATCTATATATATCTTCTTAACAAATATTTTAAAAATCCATCCTGTAGCTAGGAATTACTAGTTGTACAAAAATACCAGAAAATTAATTGATTATAATGAATAATTGTAATGATTATCAGTTTCAGAAAGTATTGCGATCATCTATATGAAAGCAAACACATGTGTTTATTTGTGTTCACTCCTCATTGTAAATAAATATAGCGCAAGAACAAACATTGATGCATCAATGTTTGTTCTTGCTCTATTTAAATTCATAAAGGGAACCAATTGCATAAATAAATATGTTGTGATTTCTCTGTTATTCGATTTTGTTGTTGTTGCATATCTAGTCACTCATAAACTCTCGGATTATTTGGTAAATAATTTAGATTTTTGCAATAAATGCTGTAAGGTTAAAAATTAAAAAAAAATCCTTGACTAGAAAATCAATTGATTCGCTTAAGGTATTTTTAAACTCTATTTCATATTGAAACTCATTTATAGATGGTGGTGGTCAGTGGTTTTTTCGAAAAGTGAAATAAATAATTTAAACAATTTAAATGTTACTAAGACCATACAAGTACATTTGATTTACCTACTTGTATGAGTTTGTTTAATTTTACCGCTGTTACTAGATAGTTTACGGAGACTTATACATAATTTAAACTTCTATATAGTTGTCATCTGTTATAAAAACAGATTAATAAAACTTAGTGATATTGTGGGGTGATGGATATCTGAATTACATAATACTCATTTGTATAGATTTATGTTCATATGAATCCAGAAGGACTCACATTAACATTATCCAACAGGCTCTATGAATTATAAGACTGATGAATAACAGATATTCGAAAACTATGATATTTCTGAAGAAGAATGTATTTGTAAAATCTCAACGAAAGAATTTGAAGTAAATCCAACGTTTCGCTTGGCAATCTGGTTCAAGCTTTTTCAAGGAAATACAATCTTCCTCTTTAATGTCTCACATTAACTTGGCGCCCAAATACTATGAAACAATTCGACCAAATTTGGACGAAAGTTCTTATCTATGATATTTCTTTTTTTCCCAAAGATCCTATTCTCTGGACTGGGAAAACAGATTGGTTGAATAAAATGGTTAAAAGTGTGATTTAAGTGTTTATCGGAATACGTTATTGTTCGTACATACTAACATATTCTTTACACACTATTTTAAATAAACTTATCAACCTAACCGCACGTACACCCAGTTAGATTTATTTCCAAATAAAATATGCAATGAAAATTCTATATTGTTGATTGAGAAAGTTCAAGAGGGACTTTGTTACACTGTTTTAACCATATGCCCTTGTTAGTTTTATCTTGTGTTTAGATCGAGAAACGTTTAAAAAGACTGAGTGGTAGGCTTTCTTTAAATCTTATTTTTTGAAGGTAAAACTCGGCATTTTTTAAATTAATAACTATCACTGTCTTTGAAAATGTAGTCATTATTTATAGACTACTCATAAATCTTTCAGCAGTCTAAAATACAAAACGAAACTCCCGACTAAACCAAGCTCAAACGGAAATATATATTAGGTGAGAACGTCATTTAGGTTTCCATAAACTCACATTCAATGTATAAACATTGGGAATACGGGCTGATGTTAACCACAAAGTTTTCGATTTCACTGATTGTGTTTTATTCAGTACATCACACTATCCTTTTGTTCCTTTAGTCAGTGAGTGATAAATAATGAGGTGTGATTTCCCTAAATATTTCATTTCACGGCCCCAACTTTCACCATATTTGTGTTTTTTACTCTAAATGTCGGTATCGCCCATACCAGACTTATTCATGACACACATTATTAGATAGCTCAACCAAATATGTCCTCATTCTGATAGCAATCATGTGCTCACTGATGACTAGCATCAATATATTTTTCCTGGAGTTCTAATGAGTAGAGGTGATCACTAACGTCCAATCCGTGTCGGGTGTATAACAGTTATCCACATCAGACAATGGACCAACGGTTGCGCAAGTTCATGGGTCTATTGAAGCTAGACATTAATACTGTTGGATGCCAGATTAGTGATCTAAAGGTCAAGAGTTCGCAGGCGAGACTGAAGATATGTGTTCGAGTCACATGTGTGAGATCGTGGATATGTACTGCTGAGGAGTTCCATACTAGGACAAAATGACCGTCTAGTGCTTTCAGATTTTCACTGGTGGTCTAGCTTACACTGACTCATGAATTCAACTGTTTAATTTATGACTTTTTTTGGACAGAGGCGCGAACAATGGTCATAAAAGGTTTAATGAATATAATGTAGTAGAAACCAACTATATCGCCTTTAAATTAATTCTTGTTTGGGAAAGTACACTTGTCCAATTTCTGTTTACATTGTTTATGGGACTCATGGAAGTATTTATCGGTCAAGTTCTTTGGGTGACCCATCGTTTTTACAAAACCTCAGATGGCCGAAAGCTATCTTTTCAAGTGTAGTTGACCAGTAATCAATGGGATTTTGAGTCAGAGGTTCGAAAACACTAGAAAGGGGAAATTATTGATGCATTTATCAATAAAAGGGAGAAATCGTCATCATGACCTTAGATAATATTTTCGATCTTGAAAGTAGATATTTTTTTCTAATGAATCACCTGTGCTTAAAGTGATGGGTTGCTGTCTAATTGCACAAAACTAGGGGAATAGGTTTGGACGTGTCTTATTGGTTTGCAATCAAGCACTTAGATCAGTGATGAGAGTGGCGACGCAAGCTGAGTTACGTAAATGGCTTCAGTAAAAAACATGATTTCAATGTTTTCCTCAATGGATCATTTTAGATTATATTGACTTAAAATGGGAAACTTCATAGAAATAATTCAGTCAATAAACGAAAATGACAGTGGTTACTATTCAGTGACCAACTTATGTAAATATCACAGACTACGGCATGGGATGATATTGGCTCGAATTATACAGAGAATATCAGCTCCTTCATGGTCGCAGATGCATCTTGAAGACCGATGAAAATTAGTATGAAACGTAGAATTATGATTTCCTGGTGACCACCTTCTGTTAGTTATACACTTTTACCTAATTGATTGTTCTAGTTTTGTGAAACATTTAATAATATGTTATGAATGAACAAAATTTTGTAGTATGGTAGGAAGAATAAAGCAAAGACTATTGACGAAGGTTTGTTATACCCCAGAAATAAATTAAAAGCATGTGTGGATGCACTTCATATAATTTATTTCATTTCGTTAATTGCTATATTTTGGACAAATTCAACTGAGTTGAGCTTAGTACACAATAATCAATAACTTATAATATGAACATTATTTGCAACGGTTGAAAATTTGTGATTCACATGTGAAATCGACTAATTGAGTTATTTGTTTATGCGTTGTCAACACAACCTTTTTACATTTTGAGTACATGTAAAGGAGTTTGTTGGAAATCAACATGTAAAGCCGTTCTCCTTCTTCATAATAACATCACATTAATGCCTATTGTTATGCGCATAGAAACAATCTAAAGACAGATTCATACTACCTTACTGCTATATCTTTAAATGTAATAGGTTAGATTTTATAGAAAAAAAATCGAAATAGTACAACAGAACGTTATGAACAATTAAATGTAACATATAAAGGGAACAATATCTTACCATCACCATGACACAAATCAATCCAGCAATAATACGAGCAACACGAGCACGAGGAGGGAAATATGGTTCAAGAACATCCGTAATGGGATTTTTTGCATATTGTGTACAGTGGGCAGAGTATTGTGGACGCGGTCGTTCTTCTTCGATTTCATAATCCAGCACATCCCATCGATGAGCTAATTTAGCATTTTTACGTTTCCAATACTCTAAATATGTAACACCTACGAAAACAAAGTGATTGATATAAAGTTTAATAAATATAAAATATTAAATTAGTATTTTGCTCTTACAATTTTGTCAATATTTCACCCAAATCACATTGTTTTAAATAATGTTATCAAATGCCCATCTTAATACAACATGTGATATAACCTAACAATCTCACGAAATCTTGACTCGTGCCAAAGATCATATTAGGTACACAAAGAAACCTCCTAATAATCCCGTAGAATTGGATAGACTACAAATTAAATCAGCAATAGCAGTTCACACCATTTTCAACGATCACCAAATCGACGTCAATAATATCGAGATATTGCAAAAAGGCTTTTCCAATTACAAGGAAAGGAGAGTAGCTGAAGTGTTCCATATGATGCTTAATCCTACTGTTCTCAATAGAAAAGGCCTTACCATACATCTTACTATCTATCATAGCCACCTAGTCTGATGTTATTCACAATTCACACTATTATTTTACAAATTAAACTCTATCCTTTCTCACCATAAAAGTCACACATTTTTCATCCTTAACAGTGAACACTTACATATACATATGCATATAAATATTACTGTATATTAGAGTAAAGCCTGATGAGGATCTAATCGAAAACAATATTGTTCGCTTATGTATGTTGTTCTAAACTTACATATACACAAATTTATATATATGTCTCTTACGAATCACCTTGACCGAAATGACATGACATCGATTTATTCAGACTTGTTTTTTTGATTGATCACATAATATTCTTGTTGTTCCGTTGTACCATTTAAACTTGGATTAATTTTAATTTGGTTATTTATTCTCTGAAGAAGTGGCTTACACGAAGTCACGAAACGTCAGCAAACCTAATTTTTCTACTCATTACTTATTATAAATATATTACTTATTTACAACAATCAACCCAATGCTCAATTTATTTGAAATTATCAAGTCAAACCTTGTTAATGATACATACAAACTCATGTTATTATTATTTTTTATTACACATAACTTGGGATCTATTTATTGTGGAATTAATTTGATAAGACAACCTAATTTTTCATACATACTTTACCAACTAAAATCTGGGAATTAAGTAGATTAGTAGATTAGAATTATTTATCTTTAGATTAATCAGTATACAGTAAGTTGTACTTCGGAAAATAATGGATAAAAAATTGTGAATCTATTAAATCTTAATAACTATATATTGAGCTCTCTGGTTGACCTATGGTAACTGCTATTTACAAACCGCTGAAGATTCATGTAACACGAAAGAGAACTAATATGACCTCGATTAGACAGGATGTCTGGAACACAACAACACTTCAACGTTACTAATATATACACTAATATGAGATAAAGAAGACGTAGATTCTCGAAAATTTTCGTTTCTGTAGATGTCTGATTGTTTAAGAAAATCAACTTCTGCCAAAAACTTAATGTCAACAAATATTACTTTGAATAAACATTTAGATCGACTACTCAGTTCACACAAAAGTCAACGGTTTTAATGATGATTGAAATTGATTTTACTCCTTCAATCTCGTCCTGAATGTAACCTGTTAAGATTCTATCAGTTTGTAGCTATTTTTTCTATTCTGCTCCAATTTATAATTCAACTATTCGTGTGTTAAATTTTGTTATATGAGACTATGTACTCAGAGAAACCACTGTATTAGTCATAATGAAATTATTCAACTCATTGCTTTTATCAAGCCTATCAACTCATTAAATAAATGTTTACTTAGTTTCTGATTCCTAAGAATACATAAATCTGATAATCTCAGACACGAATTTTTCCTTCTGTACAAGAATTTTTTTAAAGTAGTGGAGAAGATTGTAGCTCAGATGGATAATTTTGATGGAGTTTTGTTATTTGAGCTGGATGGTTTAGTTATGGAGCTTTCATCGACAAAACCATCCAGCTCAGAGAATGAAACTCCATCAAAAAGAATTTTTTTGAAAATCTGGTTATATGTACGAAGGAATCTTGAAATTACTTAACTAACTACAAACATTAATTCTCATATACAACCAACAATATTACATATGAGGAAAAAAATCCCGAGTTACATACCCCAAATTACCATAAAAATAGCGTAGAATACAGAACCAGGATGGTCGAATAAGTAGGACATTTTCAAGTAGAAACATAACTCTCGTAAATTCCAATATCGGCACCCGTGGCTGATATCACAAGTTGGACACATAACTGTATCTCGTTCACAAGCTTCTCTCCTGTCAATAATTAAACGATTAAGAAAATGTAGGCAGATTTTTTTTATTTGTTGGGTATATTAGTAATTGCTAAATGGTATTATTGGTACACTGCGAATTGCAGTGTTCATTGAACATATGTTTAACTGTGACAAAGAAAGATGAACTGAAATTTGACAAATATGAATATTTATTTGATTTTTAAGAGGACATTTCAAAAAGTGATATTGGTTTACAGTTTACTTAAGAGTCAGACACATTTGAAAACATTAAAGTAAATAATCGGTCTGTTCTACAACGAAAATCAATTTCATTTTTATCTTTTAATGGATGATGAATGTAATTAAAATAGGATCATAATTGTATTTTATCATATAGTATATTAGTTATTGGCTTCAATTTTACATCTTATCCATATAATGACTTTCATTAACCTCATTTCCGAAGGCATCAATTCAAAGTATGAGACGAACGTTCTAAGTTCTTTAACTATCAACCTTATTAAAAAATTATCATCGATTTACATAAATTCTAAACGACATTATTAAATCTTTCATTTGTCCCCTAGGGATGATTGTGAATTAATTAGACTTAATTATAAAAATTTATCGTAATTCTAGTTATTTGATTAACTGAAATGTCAAGAAATTTAAAGTTGCTTCAAATAATCTTACTGTCGTATTTTTCCGGAAAATCATTTCAAAACACCAATCAGTAATGATACTACTACCCATCTTCTGAAGATATAAACTTATTTTCAGAATGGGGGTTTGTGGAGATTGTAGTAATTTTAATATTTGAATTCATGAGTTGATGTAAGCTAGACCACCATTGAAAACCTGAAAGCACTAGACGGTTGTTTCGTCCCAGTATAGAACTCCCCATCAGTGCATATACCCCCTATCTCACACACGTGACTCGAACATATATCTTCGGTCTCACCCACGAACTCTCAAACTCTAGATCACTGAGCTGGCATCCAACAGTATTGATGTCTAACTTCGATTGATCTTGCGCAATCCTTCGTCCATTGATAAGTAAATTTCGCTAAAGATAGGTTATATTGTTTGACGAATCAAAGTTATACTGATGAGGTTCATCAAAATGATATTTTCCACAAAATTCCGTAAACAGTTTAGATTCCGAGAATGCATATTCTTTTTCTATCCCAAACTTTATATCTAACCTATTCACTTTAATATTTTGACGTCATCAAAGTCTCAATCAAATATACCTAACCTGCAATAGTTCTAAATTGTTCAACATTTATTTAATTTACCGTCAGTTGAGAAATAGTGAATAGTGTTTTAAGATTATAAAAACATAAAAATAAAAGTATTAATTTGCCTACGAACAATCATTCATCATCGAAATTTCCTTTGTAGAAAACTTTTTCTAAATATTGTAAGGGGAGATTGCCTATTATTTAGTTGGAAACATTTTAAAATCTTGTCAAAGAAATACAGTAATAAGAAGTATAAATGTAATCTTGAGATCTCTGATATACTGACTCATTGTTATTTTAGTCACTCATCATGAGTGCCATGGAGAATAGAAAACTGATAGACAACTGAAGTAGGTGTTTAAGTACTTACTTAAGCCTGTTACCCTTCGTGGATTAGCATAGGCCGCCCACCAGCACTCTCTATCCAACCCTGTCCTGGGCAATCCTTTCCAATTCTTCCTAGTTGCTATTCATCCTTTTCTTGTCTGCTTCTAAATCTCAACGTAATGTGTCCTTCATTCTTTCTCTTTTCCGTTTCTCTTCAGGATTACAGGCAAGCACTTGCTTCGTAATGTAGTTTGATGATTTCCTTAATGTGTATCTTATCCACTTCCGACGTCTTTTTCAATTTTCCTCCACAGCTCAAACCTAATTTGTTCTCTCCCATAGTAGGCTGTTGCTGATGCTATCCCCTCAACGAATATTGAGCATCTTGAGTAGACGATTGTTTATAAATACTTGTACCTTCTTGATGATGGTTGTAATAGTTCTCCAAGTATCAGCTCCGTATAGTAGAACTGTCTTGACGTTCGTATTGAAGATTCTGACTTTGATCTTGGTTGACAGCCGTATCGAGTTCCATATTATTATTATTATTGGCAGTGAAGGGTTGATGTTGAATTAATTTAAAAGTGTAAATAGCTAACCAATTACAAGTGGTTTATATTGTTTCTATAATATTAATTTATAATATAAAAGTATTTCTGTGGATAAATGATGTAATATATAACATTTATATCTAATCAATACTTACACAGGAACATAATCATTTATAGTGACAAGTCCATATATGAAAACAAAGATTCCGACCAATGCAGCTGGTAATAACCATGCAGTGTATAAACCTATGAATAAATTAATATAATATAAATAATATTATAAAATAATTTAATGGTAAAGATACTACTTCAGTCTTTGCTATTAGTGATAACATTTCCGTATAGGCACTGAGAACTAATAATTCACCTTATAAAAACATTTTCCATTTTGTCATCGAATAAAAATGAAGAGAATTCAATGAAGAAAATTTTATTTTCGATGAAATCATTTACTTAAACTGTACATTTTTGTATTTATAGTTGTATGGTAGAAACATGTCTATGGTAGGATAGAAAAGATTGCATCATAAAGCGATTTGAGATTTCAAACATCAAGTGCGGTTGCGTAATCATTCTGGGGTTAGAGAAGAATACGAGAATGAAAATAATTTACTAGTTAGAATGATGAAAGATATGAAGAAGAATGAAAAAAACACATCAAGGTTATAGTAACTATTGAGCAATGATCACAGAAAATTGTTAGAGGATAATAATAACTGATTACAGTTTAAAATCACAAGACAATAATAAAAACAAACAAGATTAGAACATATTGAAGAAGGAACTAGGGTCAATAAAGAAGGAAAGGTTGGACGTATCGTTTTTTACACAGAGTTCAGGCTTGAATCAGTGGATCACCAACGCCTCAACAGTGCATACGTTATTGATTCGGCCAGACTTTCATTTAGTTCCTTTGATTGTGTAGACTATTTTAAAGGAAGCTTCCTGTAGAGCGACGTGTCCAGAATTCATTAGGTACTGCTGTATTAAACTAGCGATTGTTTTGGATTCTCCTTCTAAAGGCTACGCCAGCTAATGTTCTGAGATGCTTTTGGAAAGTGATCGTTTTATGCTACCAATGTAACATGCCTTATAGCAACAAGTGAACTGATAGATACACATCGATGTGAACCAAAGCGGGAGTTCATCCTTAACATATACGTGAATGGTAGGCTGGCTTGAGAAGGCAATACGAAGCTTGGCTAAATAAAACGTTTTATCCAGGGATCTTGAAATTCGTTTATTCAAGGTTTCAGCAGCCATATTTCCTTCAAATTCGATATACATGAAAAGTTTTCTTTTGAACCGTTTGAGTTTTTTCCGGATGTTTTCTATGTGTTAAGTTCCTAGAGACATGTCTAGGTGGATAACCATTTCTGACGAGTATCTATTGAAGCTGAAGTAGTCCGTCATCTATTGTTTCACTAAAAGTCCAAATAGTCTTGGTAAAGCGGAACACGATGGTCTAAGATGTTCATAAAAGTCACAACTCGTAATGGACTCATTACTCATCTTTCTTGAAATTTTGGTTAACATCTGTTCTATCTTCCCAATTGCGTCTTCTTAAATAGTTTCTTAAAGAAATTAACAGTGACTGATAATATCCATTTGGATAATTCCCGTATCTTTATCTGAGCGACAGATAGTTAAATCCTGACTTCTCAGAAGATCGAATAATTAAGATTTATGTTCTTTGATGAGTAGTCGCTCAATTGTAAGTATTGTATTTACATTACTGATTGTAAGAGTCTACAAGAGTTGTTTTGATATGCTCATAATCTTTATTAGATATGAGGGTAAGATCACTTGTCTGACGAATGAGGCTTTCATACTAAATTTTAGCGTTGAGGTGATTAATATTAGTTGACCTTTATGTTTTTCGTTTTTCTATCAAATAGACAATTATCTTTCATAATTCTGGCTAGTAAATTATTTTCATTCTCGTATTCTTCTCTAACCTCATGATGATTATGCAACCGCATTTGATGTTTGAAATCTCGAATCACTTTATGATGCAATCTTTTCTATCCTACCATAGACGTGTTTCTACCATACAACTAAAAATACAAATGTACAGCTTAAGTAAATGATTTCATCGAAAATAAAATTTTCTTAGATTTTTTGTTAGATATAAGATATTCTCAACAATTTATTACAATCAGGCTATATCTACATGTACAATTGGTTGTCTTTCCAACGTGTATTTCAGTTAGCAATTGAGAAATTTCATATTTAATCACAAATTTATATCATTCACAATTAATATTGAACTTTCATAATTCAATGAAATAAGAAGTTAAAAGGTGTTATTATCATTGATACTCTTATTATTGCATATTTTTGTCCTTTTCAGATACACTAAGGTTCATTTTTATACTATAAGTACTGAACTATCAGTATGATAGTAAAGATTACTTTACATCATCTTTTGATATAACGATAAAATACTTAACAGAAGTCAGAAATTTACTTGGTGTTGTTTGGCTTGTATCTTCCCACTGAGGTTTAAGACTGCAATTGACCAGTCTGTTACTGGCATATGTGCATACAATACCAAGTGAATTTAAATTCACCCCATTGCACAAGCAAGTGGCTATCAGGACTCAGTAGCTGAGTGGATAACGCGATGGCGTTTAGAGCGAGTGGTGCTACGTTCGAGTCCTAGAGTGAACATCAACTCTGGGATGCAGGTACAACCAGCTGACGAGTCCCGAATAGGACGAGACGCGCTAGCCAGTATCCATCATTGCTTACAAGAAGTCAGAAATCTTTGCATCTTCACATTACTTTATATAATTGTTAACGGTAATTTCTGATATCTTCACAATGAAATGATATCCGATATATTTTTTTTAGCAGATTATAGAAATTATTTAAACAATTATTCTTTTTCAAAGAGTGAGTTTTGAAGTTTATGACTTTGGTGGAGTTTTGTTCTCTGAGCTGATGATGTCGTTCAGAAGAACGATGAAAGCTCCACGACCAAACCATCGAACTTAGAGAACAAAACTCCACCAAAATCATTCAGCTGAGCTACAAATCTTCTCCACCATCTCAAAAGTTTATGACTTTGTTAGAGAAATTTTCAAAATAATAAATAAATCGTACTGTTTTCGAATCTGGTACTGATACACATTTTTTTTCATAAGCGTGCCAAATCTAGTTTACTGAATAGGAAGACAGAGTGAAGAAAGACTTATTGACTAAATAACTCTAGACATAAAAGTCTTTATTATACAGTCAGTATTTCAATAAATGCTGTGAACTACAAAGTAACTGTTATTGAAATGCGACTAAAGATTTGATTCTTCATCATTATCTTATTCTTATATTAGTGATTATTTTATCTGCTAAAGTGAATAAGTATTTACTCAATGATTCCAAAATCACTATTTTATTTTTCTTCATCCCAGTTTAGAGTTTTTTCATTTTACATCTTTGTTTAAATGGATTTTTCAATTATAATGTATATTAATCATTAACTGTTGATGAGAGATAATATATGTTTAATTCATGAAAATAAACCTACCAAGCCAAGCGAAATAGAAACCAATTTTTTCTCCAAAGTAATATCTGATATGATCTAGAGGTTGATATCTATACCAACAACCCCATCTTGCCCAATACCAATATAAAATTTGACGTGGATTCATTTTTTCTGGATTTTTTAAATCCTCTTCATCTACTTCATATGGACCCTATAATTAATCAAGAGATATATTACCTTTTACTAAAATTAATGATCATATTAAACTTTATTTAAATAAGAAGTTATATTTACCAGTAAATTATTCACATATTGAATTAAGTAATCTTGTTTAAAATAGCTAAAATGTGAGCGTCTGATTCATTCAACTAATCAGTTTCGTGATGAATTTTATTAACTACTTTTTCCTATTCGGTTTTTATCTCCTGTAATACTGGATCAGAAGTGTTTCTAAATATCGAGATTTTTTTTTCCATTATCCGTACAACATGTTAAATATCAATGTTTCAGATGTTATTCGGTCAATTTTTTTAAAAACGGACATACCTTACAGTGTATGCATTAATAAACCATAAGACAATATGACAGAATTTTTTTTTCTATTTTTATCAGATTTAATGCATCAATATAGAGAAATATTTCTGAAACTATCTAAGTGTTCAACTTCACTATAGGCAGGAATAAATTATGATTACTTTTAAGTAATATGAGAAGGGGTTTTGTAGATATTATAGAAATTTTAATGGTTGAAATCATGATTCAATTGGACCTGTAGGTTAAAAAAATGTTTCCCGTAATATTTTGTTTAGTTATGGTACTATGAAAAAATTAGGGACATAAAGAGGGTATAATATGGTAACTTTATTTAACTAAATATAAATATCACCATCATATACACTTTTATAGAACAAATAATTGAACATGTGATAACACAAAATATATACATGATAAACACGTGATTGGATGTTATATGAGTTCTTTTGAGAACATAGATAGTTATTATATATGAAATATTATTATAATTATGAACCAAGAAGAATTGGTAATGGTAATATGAATAACTGGATGGGTGTTTATATTTGAACCGATTACCTCATGAATCGCGTACGCAGCATTGTAAACCTCTTCTTGTAGAAGACGATCGATTCCAACTTGTGCCTTTTCACGGCTCCCATATGCTTGAGTAGCTAAAATATCATATGCTACCTGGTGTCTCTGAGTAGGAGTGAAATATGATTCTTGATTATCATGTCCAATGAATCTGAAAAAGTATTGTAACACATATATGAGTGACATACCTTATTTAAAATGCATTTTACCAACGTGCTATAAAATAACTCCGCCTGGAGACCCTCCGGGAGCTGCTGCGCCTACCAATGACTGAAATGAAGATGATAAACATCAATTCTACGATAGGCTGCAGTCAATCATCGAGAAGTGCCCAACAAAGGACCTGACCATTCTGATGGGAGATTTCAATGCCAAGGTTGGAATGGACAACACCGGATATGAAGACATCATGGAACGACAAGGACTGGGAGAAAGGAACGAAAATGGTGAGAGATTTGCAAACCTATGTGCCTTCAATAAACTGGTCATAGGCGGCACTATATTCCCAAATAAACACATTCACAATACCACATGGACATCACCGGATCACACCACGCAAAACCAAATAGACCATATCTACATCAGCAAAAAGTTCAGGAGGACAACGGAGGAGGTGAGAACCAGGAGAGGAGCTGATATAGCCTCATATCATCACTTGCTGGTCGCCAAGATGAAATTGAAACTCAAGAAGCACTGGACAACGGGGCGGACAACATCACGAAAGTTCAATACGGCTTTTTTTCAGGATACTGACAAACTCAAAAAATTCAAAAGAGCTCTCAGCAATAAGTTTCAGGCCTTTCATAATCTAGTCAATGGAGAGGGAACCCCTATGGAGGGCAACTGGAAAGGGATAACAGAGGCAGTTGGAAAAGCAAGAGCAGCATATTTGCAACTGAACAACATCTGGAACTCAAAACGACTGTCAACCAACACCAAGTTCAGAATTTTCCATACAAATATCAATGCAGTTCTACTGTATGGAGCGGAAACCTGGAGAACTACAAAAGCCATCATCCAGAAAATACAGGTGTTTATTAACAGTTGTCTATGCAAAATACTTCAGATCCGTTGGTCGGACACTATTAGCAACAACGCTCTGTGGGAAAGAACAAGCCAGATCCCAGCGGAGGAAGAAGTCAGGAAGAAGCGCTGGAAGTGGATAGGACACACATTGAGGAAAGCACCCAACTGCGTCACAAGATAAGCCCTCACATGGGATCCTCAAGGCCAAAGGAAAAGAGGAAGACCAAAGAACACATTACGCCGAGAAATGGAAATATACATGAAAAAGATGAACAAGAATTGGATGGAATTAGAAAAGGAAGCCCAGGACAGAGTGGGTTGGAGAATGCTGGTCGGCGGCCTGTGCTCCATTAGAAGTAGCAGGCGTTAGTAAGTAAGTTATAAAAGAGTTAGTTGCTGTAATGAGCCATTACAATCATGTGATTTTTAAGATCACCTTCATTTATCGTATACCAAACTTGTTACCTGTATCCTAGTTCTGAGAATTGCATAGTATCACTGTATATTACAAGAAAAGTGTAAATAAAGTCTGACTAAGTGAACCTGTACTGTAGTGAATGAATCTAATAAGAAAAAGCGATACCAAAACTAATGAAAACTTGAGAGAATTTATGAAACAAACTGATCTCAATTATAATCACATTATTTTTCCAAGACTTGTTGGTTGTAATCAGTTTGATTAATAAACACATAGTTATTATAGTTTCTAGAAAATTAATCGAACTTATTATTTATTTTCAAAGTCTTTTGATAATTTCTTATCATCAACCAAAACGACGGTTATGCGCAATTTATGGATAAGCTAAAACATATAACATTCAAAACTTTAGAGAAATCATTTAATTAAACTATTGAAGTTGTAAATGAAGGATATCATATCAAAATAGGGGAAGCTTTCTCTGTTTTATATCAAGTTCTAAAGAATCTACCTCAAGGAGCTAGATTACGGTTGTTCTACATAGCCGAAGCCATCTGGATCAACTCCAAAAAGCCGAACTTTTGTGTCCAGGGTTGATGTTCACTCCGGGATATTTAAATAATGTAATGAACACTTAGGATAGCCGACTATTTTTTCTTATATATCTTTCTAATTATTCTTTTTTTTGTCTGGTTTATTTTTGCTGATAGTGTTTGGCATGTGGTTTAGGGCTTTCACATTAATCGAGTTGAGTTGTTTATACTTTTAATTTTAATGTAATAAATATATTTTTTCCAACCATTACAATGATCAGGCCCTCACAACTGAATTCCTAACTGAAATATTGAGAGATACAATGAACACTATTGACCATTATCTTATACTATACAGTCAAGGAATTTTCTCTTGTCCCTTTGTAGTTCTACTAGTATAACTTATATTTCCGTGAATATGTATAGCAGTAAAATCTATGAGATATACCAGATAGCGTGTGTGAGAGCACAGCAACAAGAACTCGTTATCATATAAGTTTCGCACGAATGTGTGTTTTGTTTAGCATGAAAATGAGCCCATAAATTCATTTTCCAATTTAAAAAAGAAAAAAACATATCATTTACCTTTCCCAGTTTATTTGGTTTAGTTTTCATCATTTAAATAGTGGTTCGAATACATTTGAAGATGAAAACTAACTAATTGAATGTTAAGTTACAATTCTAGACACTTAAACCAATCAATTACTAGGGTAGTTTTCTATAATATGGAATTAACAGCATATAATTATGTTCAATATTTAACTGTGTTACTTTTATCTCGAAACAATCTCAGTAAAATAATTACAGATATCCAAAACACAACGTTAACGTCACAAAAGTTTCTACAATATTTTAGGACAAATAATTTTGAAGTTCTCATCAAAGTTAACTGATAGGATAGTTTTAGCAACCATTTAAATAATTTCCAAATGCTTTGTGCATTTAGGTCGATGTAATGAAACTACTATTTTTCCCTGCATTATTTACTACTATATTAGAAATATTTATCAACCACAGTTTAGTTGTCATTTTACAAACTGTTTGTTTTTTATCAGAAGGGGTTTTGTGGAGATTTTAGAAATTTCACTGATTGAAATCATGAGTCAATTGAAGCTAGACCACCATGGAAAACCTGGAAGCATTGGATGATCGTTTTGTCCTAGTATGGAACTCCTCAGCAGTGCGCATCCACGATCCCGCACCCCGTGAGATTCGAATCCAGGACCTATCAGTCTCGCGCCAGGCGCCTAACCATCTAGACCACTGGGCCCGCATCCAGCGGTGTTAATGTGTAACGTCAACCAATCCACGAAGTTGTGCCACCGTACACCATTGTCATCAGTTTGTTTTTGTTCATTTCTAACTGTTAAATACGTTGTAGATAATTAATTTTCAACAAATCAATAAAAATAAATACACATGGTAAATAATTATTACGAAAATATAATTACTAACTTTTCTAGTTTACTTTTCTTAAACGGACAAGTATAATATTCAGGTGGAGGATTCGGAACATTTTGCGCCATTATAGATGGAATCCCAATTGTTTTCAAAAGAATCTCAGACCAGTTCTTCATTTTAGTGTTTTGCACCTTGAGATATTTCGATAGTTCAAATATAAATTTAAAAGGATTTTAACAAAAAAACTCTGCTTGATTAGCTGAAAAAATACAATCTCTACCAAATATTTTTTAAAAATTAGTATATTATCTGGTTGTTAACCGTGAAAATCTTGCTTATGATAGAGATTTGTTTTCTGAGCTGGATAGTTTGGTCGTGGAGCTTTCATTGTTCTTCTGAACGACATCATCAGCACAAACTTCTACCTGAAGTTTATCGTTCAGGAGAATGACGAAAGCTCCATGACCAAACCATCCTGCTCAGAGAACAACATTCCATTGAAATCACTCACCTGAGCTACAAATCTTCTCCAGCATCTCAAAATCTTGCTTATTTAGTTTAGTTGTGTATCTGAAATAACTCAGCGATGGATATATCTAGTTGCGAGAATTTTGTTAAAACTACAACAAAGGTTATTCAGTTTCATTGGATTGATGTTAGCCTAAGCTAAAAACTATCATTAATTTTTACTTGCTAAGAAATTTTAACCCGATTTTCTCAAAATCATCAAAATCACAGTTAATGATTGGTGTTATTAAGAGCTGAAGTGAGTTTCAGCATTTATAGAGCTAGAAAGATGAACATTTTTTTCTAAAAGGCATTAAGCGTTGCACATTCAGAAATGTCACTAATCCTTAATGCTGATATTGAGGTGAACGGTATATGTTACGACATTATTTTCCATAAGTATTAAAGCAGTCTTCTTAGCATTTCATTTATTTTCATTTCTTAATAATAAATTTTGTTTTCCGCCAGTTACCTTCTACTTGTATGCATCAAAAATATCCTGTAATACCTGATAAAGATAACTGCTATCAATGATTATTCTGGTTTAGAACTTGAGTGCTTATAATTGATCTTATGTACTTTATTGCTCTGAAATAAATAAAAAAATTTCAACCGTCAATGAGTAGATGCGCGGTAACAAATGTGATTTTCAGTAACACCTGATTGACAAACACTTTTGTTTCTTAAATAAACATGAAAACCCATAAAGTATAGGAAAATTTCTAACGATATCTTTTATTTTTGTGTTTATTTCCAACGAGTATAGGTGTTAACTAGAGGATAGTTAAAAACTAAAATGTGGTGAATTTCTATTTTATCCTAGACTGAGTAACCTCTTCATTTTAAAAATCAGATTTCGTATACGATTTAGGCAAATATCTTTGAATCATTTATCAACTACGTTTGATTACTGAGTCATAATTGCAACAAAGCTGACCTTTCATTCAATATTAATGATGGTACCAATTTGCAATTGTAACTCTAGAAAATTCAGCCTCATATAAGCACTTCGTTCGAAATCGTATTACTAGTTAGCACTAGATAGACTGTTAATACTTCGTAATTATTTTGATGAGATGGAGAATAGTTTTAATGAAATATTTGAACATGCGTAGAGTGATACAGTTAACAGTACCTCAGGATAAAGTTTGGATCCTGATATAAATCAGAACATAAATTCGGAAAGCTTTAGTGTACACGGAGCAGGAACGGAGCTATTTTAATTTGGCGAGTAAATTGTAAGTTTAATGTGGTTCAAACGAAATATATAATGAAACAACGAAATAAACACATCCTAATAAGTAATAGTTTTAAGACACTACACTGGAAAACACGCCTAATATTTAACAATAAAATATGAACATTCCACATACTTCAAGAGGAGCTCGTAGGTTTAGACACTCAGCATGATGGCACATTAAGTCCCAAGGAATATGCAGCTTCAAATAATGAGTCATTAAGCTTTCGCTCTTGACATCCTCCTAAAAAGTAAAAGTGGCAACTAAATATTTTGTAATGGAACGGATCAGAAAATAAATTACACATTTTTATTGGAACGAATGGTTGTGGCTGGTTTTTATTGAGAGCTACTCACTCAACTTGAAACTTAAACATTTTATAAATTCTTTCATATTTCAGAACATTAACTGGATTGAAGTTACTTATTACGCTAATAAGTGAACGAATTTTCATTATTGATATATCATCCACTTATATTGGAGGATGGGTCATTTTTTAATAGCCTTTCAAAACAACTAGTAAGGTGTACTTATTTATAAAAAAACGTAGTGAATTAATTTGCAAATATCTCAGCTCCGATAGCTTCCAAACTAAAGGTTTCTAGACAACGTTTTTCGATTTATTGTTACCCTCACTGTTACTGCTTGATTGTATTTATTTATTGTTTTATAAAGCTCAAATCAGTTTCCAAAGAGAATCGACTAAGGTTGATGAGATTTTATCTTCGTTATTTACAGCACCATTGAATAGATTTTCCAATGTAGATTTTTTGAAACTCTATTCACAGTAGCACCAAAATCGTCTCTTCATGACAGGTTCATTTAAAGTCAAGTAATATTTACGCCACGATCCTATAAGGATACTTGTTAGTCAATTTCGGTCCATGGATAGTCTGAACTAACATAATCATCCTTGATTTGTATGAAACTGCATTATTATGTAAATAATCTGAATTTTGCCGACAATACTTGGTATTACACTGTTAAGTTATAAGGGTTAATGATTGCATCAACAAAATTTAAAATGATTTCCATGAAATAATATTATCTCTTGCCTTCATAACTGGAAGCAATGTTTACTTCACTTCATTATTGCAATAAAAAAACACTTGATTATTCCGAGTACGTGTAAATTTATCATACACAACAAGATGACATTTTTAAGATAATTAAAGGGCGAAAACTATATAGTAGTTATGCCAGTAAAAATGATGAAGATTGCACTCTTAAGAAGAATACAATCAAAGTAAATGGTTTTACTACCGACAGTACAATTTCCAATTCATGTATCTTAAAGCTACATTTTACAAACAGATCTTCAGCAAAATCTGTCACTAATTACATCTGTTAATGTTTTGTACATACTTTTTACGACCCTTCCTAAGAAGTCATAATAAATGAGCTCGCCACAACTAAAATGCAATTTATCAAATTTAATGTTCCATGATTAATTCAGTAGTAAATATATGACTTCTACACATACATCCATTTTGTTGAAATTTCTCTTTGTTTACATTGTAATAGCACTGAATGCAAGCAATGCTTTAGATAAAGCCATCAAATTTGAGAGCTTTTATAAATCTTTAACTCTTTGAGTACGTTTTAAAAACTTAACCCTCAATTACTTTCATCGACGCACTATGTATCAGATTTGTTAAAGCCAAAAATGACCTAATACTATAGTTTATAGTTTCAGCTTATAATGTGTTCAGGTTGAAGGACCTAATATATATCATTTGGAGTTTTTATTAAAATTGGAAAATGAATAGAATGTTAATATTTTTCCATCTCTACCTGACAACTTTAATTAATTCAAATCTAAAATTTTCTTTTCATTTCATAAAAGATGATACTAACTATTCTCTAGTAAATTTTATATTGAAATAGTATGGAAAGAAATGATAATATGGAGTAATTTCTGAATGTTACAACATCTATACATAATGACTATAAGACAATGAAAACATTAGGGTTACGAAATTCAAATAAAAACAAATCCATATCCAAAACTCATATTAATGAATAAGTGACTTTGAATGTGATTTTTCTTACTATGACTAAAGCGTTTAATTACATCACATTTATATTAATGAAATAGCTTGGATTACTTTTTGTACTTTAAATTGAAAGTGTTTTCAGATTATCCGAACTGATCCCATAGTTCAGAAATATTATTGAGATTTGAACACATTTTGTGTGAAGAATGAATATAAGCTTAACAAATGACCCATAAAAGATTAGATTTATTTCCAAAATGCCAAATTAAGCGTCATTTGAAATATCTTGAGAGCTCAGAGAGGATTAGAAGTGATAACACTAGTTCTAGAGCCTCTAGATATCCAATCATACAGTAATCTGATATGCATGGCAAATATATGACATAATAGTCAGGTTTTAATTTTACTAGCAGCTTAGTGGTTTACCTTTTAAATATCTAATCATCATGTTTACTTGTGTGTTGTTTTACCACGATAAAGTTTGCTGTCTGTCAAGGTACATGATACAGGATGGTGGATGGCAGTGGAATCCAAGATGTGCGTTTTGTCCGATATTTGGACTCGTCAGCTGGATGTATCAGCATTCCGGAGTTCATGTTCATTCCGCGACTCGAACTACGTGTCCTTCACTCCGAACGTCGTAGCATTATCTACTTAAACACTATGAATTTTATCCTCTATTGTTGGCACAATCAGAAGCAAAACCGTTTGGTTATCCAGGTAGTAATGATTATCTGAATAACTGACTTAAATGACATGAGCGTTCTCCAAGTGCCAAACAATACCGAGTGGTTGAAATCCAAAATGTAGCAAAGCCTTTCCAAAAACCATTTCGGAAATCATTCAAACGATAACTTTAAATTCATTTTGTATTGTTTGTATTATTCACCCCATAGCACAGGCTAGTGGCTATCATGACTCAGTAGCTAAATGTGTGACGTAATGGCGTTTGAAGCGAATGGTACTGTGTTCGAGTTCCATAGCGAACATCAACTCAGATGCAGGTACATCCATTTAAGGAGTTCAAAACTCGGACGAAACGTGCATCCTGGATTCCACTGCTACTCACCATCCGTCGTTGATTACAATGCTTAATAACCTTAAATATTTTTAAAGTTCAATAGTGAAATCCATAGTTTTGTTTTCTGATATTTATACAGACGATATTTGAGGAATCGTTTTCTGAATGAGGTATCCATCTGACAGCCTCAGGCTCTTTTATATTTTACTAGCCATTTTCACTATTATAAAGTTCACTTAATTACTTATCACTCTGATACTTTGCTTTCATTTTCAATCTATCAAAGATTAAGAGACCTCACAATAGTTTGTTTTGTAAAAGCCAAAACTAATCGGATTAATTAATTGTTTTTTTGATTTTTGCACTTGATTAGTATACCATGTGATATGTTTAGACCGTACTCTTATTGGAGATCGGGAAAGGATTTTGTTTTGTTAATCCTGATTATGTTATGTATTTAGATCAAGTCCGTCAGGTTTAATATTTAAAAATTCCTTGTTATTACGCTTTCTATAACAAAAATCTTAATTTCACGTGTTTTACTTTATTTTATTCAACCAAATCATTCAGTTAAATTCATCCTATTCAAAAAAATCCTTAGACCTTTTCAACCAAACAATTAAATGATAAAGTAATGAAAAAGAAAACTTTTACTATACATAAAATGCTTCTTATTCCTAAGTACCAAAATCTATTTTGTCAAGCAACTTACCAATAGCGTATTTTAAAGTATACTAACATTTAATAGTTAGATTCATGAGTCAATTAAAGCTGAACCACCATGGAAAAACTGGAAGCACTAGACGGCCGTTTCGTTCCAGCACGGGACTCCTCAGCATGTGCACCCACGATCCCGCCCCCCTCGATATTCGAACCCAGGACTTATCTGTCTCGCGCGCGAACGCGAACCTGTAGATCACTGAGTTGACACCCAACAGTGTTAATGTCTAACTTCAACCAATCCACGAAATTGCACCACCGTACAACATTGTCTTCAGTGAGTAACTATCTCAAAACAGATCTGGTTGAACTGCACTGGTCACAACTTCTCAACAAGCGGGCGGTATCGTGGTTGCGCACTGCTGAGGAGTCGCATATTAAAACTAAACGGTCATCCAGTGCTTCCAGGTTTTCCATGATAGTCTAGCTTTAAGTGACTCATTAATTCAACTATCAAATTATTAAAATCTTCACAAACTCCCCTTCTAATACTAACATTTATTTATTGTCGTCGCTTGTTGTACCAATCGATATCCAACCTAAGTGAGTGTTAATATACAAAAGTGTCCGCAAAAATTGCAAAATACGAATGAAAAATGTAGAGAGGCAACAAATATGTGAAAAAAACTAATCTGAAAAATGTCACTTTATATATACACAGATTTTGATTATTTTAGTGAATACAATTTCAATGAACATTTTTCAACTGTTGTTTGCAATTGAAGTAGTCTGATTAACCAATAAACTCATAATCTCAGATATAACATCGAAATAACATTGAAAAAACTGCTATATTTGTACGATAGTAACAGATTAGCAGACGGAATGTAATAATATGCAAATGAAAATATCTTCTCACGTAGTCACATTTCTTATGCCGAGTTTTTGGGTATAAATTAATGAAATAAAAACTCGTAACGGTGGTTTCGAAACATAGAATTATTGCAGAAGTACAATAAGGCAAAGTTTCAGAGAGTTCATTTTTTTAATGGAACATTTATTTTATGTTCTCTTCAGTCATATGCAGCCCTACAATACATTTGTAAGATTTATTTTGATAAATAACTAAACAATGATACATGTATACAGGACATTTGATAAGAACCATTTGAAGCTGACTATCTATGATCTACCTCTTGTACGTATTAGCGTTTTTCCTCAGAAATCACATGACAGTTCATATATTTATTGAAATGTCGAGATTCTAATCAATATTTGTGATTTCTGTTATGTAACTCTAGAATTTATAGTGCTGTATTGAGTAGTTTTTGAAAATCTTATCACCATATTGGATCAAAAAGCGCTATCATCACAAATCTAACTAACTATTTCAATAGCTTTGAAATTACTGTTCAAACATGTTTTTTTTAATTGTTCAAATTAAATATTTAGTTTTAGATAAATAATTCGCCATATTTCGTAAACAAGGTGTTATGCGGTTCAAAGGGTCAGATTGATTTGTGCACACTATTATATCAAATGAATAGCTACTTAGATCTTGCTTCGGGATTTATTACTGTATTGGTTAATTTCTATCTAGCAAATTCAATGATGACACTTTTCAGTCTGATTTATCCTCACTGCCACAGAAAATAATATTGTTTGAGATAATCAGGACTACTAATTATAAGTTTCGTCATTTACTTGGAACCTGTGGATATATTGCTGGAAACTGACTTGGGTGATGCGTGTTACATGACCTAAATCAGTGTTTAAATTTTAGACTCAGCTTGGTATCAGTTGGTACTACCGCACAGTTGAGTGAATAGATTACCATTTTACAACTGGTGATTAAGATATTCAATGTACTGAATTAAAATTCGTAGGATTAAACTGTAATATTAATTTAAGCTGGAATGTTTTCTCCATTTTATCGAACGAACTCATTAATAAGTAAGTAATCGGACCGAAATTTGTGCAATTTTCTAAAGGCTTAATTGTAAAAAGAAGTTCAACAACTGAGGAGAAATGATGTTTGACTCTTAAAAAAATATGAATTATTTATGGTGAGTAATCAGTAATCTTTGTTTCTGATCTATATAACCGTCAGAAAAGTTACATTTAAATGAGAATTAAACATGACGGTTATTTATTGATTGAAGCATTAATGAAATTAAAATTTATTTCCTGACCTTATACATAAACATCACATTTCATTGTTTGAGCAATGATTTATTGAAGAGAAAATTCCTTGTATCAAGATATTATTATTAATTAGGTCGAAAGTTCCATATTATTTCCCTTAATCATTAAATTTGAGGGCAGATATCTTACTTCTCTTCTTATCTAGAGTAGGGAAATTTGGCTGAATACTTTTTTTTAACATTAAATAAGACTAGAAAAAACAAAATCTCAGTTGACTATGGAAGAAATCAATTATTAGTTTGGAATTTTATTCACTATCAACCAAACGTACTTTCTCAATTTGTACTCCAATTGTTTGCAAATTATCTTCAAATGTCTTTCGATAAATACTATTGATTTTTTTCACTTTATTGATCATAGTTTCATTAACTGGTTCATCCCAAACCAAAACATAATCTTGGAAGGAAAAATATAACACTGAATGAAATACATAATCATTTATTAAATGTAATTTTGAAGTCAATTCTTTTGTATATAAAAATTTGTTGTTGTATAATTGATGAAAATCACATAAGTATAGCGCATCCACGATCCTGCCCCCCGCGAGATTCGGACCCAGAACTTATCAGCCTCGCGCGCGAGCGCTTAGCCACTACATCACTGAGCCGGCATCTACGGTGTCATTGATTAACTTCAACTAGTCCACGAAATTTAGCGACACATCTACCATCGTCATCAGTGAGCTGATATCTCACAGCAGACCTGGTTGAACTCCACTGGTCACTGCTTCTCACTAAAACTCCAGGGAATGCCTCTTGAATTCAGTCAACAATGAGTAGATGAAGGGGTTTTGTGGAGATTAATTGATATTAATTTTGTCCACTTATAATCTATAGTTGATTAGTTGAACGACAATTACTATATTTCACTTAATCCACCTAAGAATTCGAATGAAAGTTATATTTTAAAACTCAAACCAAAATCTTGTGTAGTCATCGAAATCCAAGTATTTGTATCCTAGAATATAATATTAATAATAACCTACATATTTTAACTGTAGTTGATTATGCAGATAAAGCAAAATACTTATCGAAAACTTTCGATAACTTATTGTCCTATTTCTAACATCATTGACTCAAATGGTTATGATTTCGTATTACGGTTTTAATAAATCTTACCAAAACTAGTCACCAGTAAGCATATGGTCGGTATGGATTTTAAGACAAGAATTACATTTCAATTACAAGAAACCTTTATGAAATCATCATCGTATGAAATAATTGTTGTAATATTTTTTTAATATCAAATAAAAGGTATCTATATTTTGACTAATGTAATCACTTATAAATGATGATTTATCGCAGTGAAATAAACGCGATTATTCATCTTGTAGATAAGATATAATGTTAAAAACTGGTTATTCAACATGTTTTCAACATTTAAATAAACGAACATGTTTCACTTCAGTGAATTCATTGAATGTCAGTTAGAATAAAACAAAGCTAGTGTAACGGTTTAATGAAAACGTTTGCAAAGATATAAAAAAACAACAACTGGGGATCATTGTTTGAAATGGCTTGAAATGATACAAATGATGTTTTCCGTTTGTATGAATAATCATATGGCCTATAAATAACATAACATTTGTGCTCATTGATTCAGAAGTCATGGAGTTTCTATGCTATATGAAACTAAAAAATCTTCGGTTCTGTTTATTTACTTACCATTTTAGAATCCAGATCTGTTCCCTGTGATAAGTCGGTACTATGAATTAGGACGATATTCAGTAATTTGTTCTACAACTATAGCCGTAAAATATGTATTTTGAAGCGAATTCCATTTCATAAGTTTTGTTAGATTTTGTTTAATCTTTATATTACAGAATCCGAGAATCGTATAATGTAACCATTTATTTAGAAATTTACTTATTTAACTATTTGGAACAGTGATATCTGACATTAATCTCAATTAATACTAGTTTATGAAGGTTTCAGATGTATCTATTAACATTGGATTATTTTTCATAAGTCAGACTGAAGTCTACGAAATTTTTATATGAAACAATATAGAAATATGTAAGAGAAACCTAGAACTGTATTCATTCAATTTAAATATACAATCCATTAACTGACCAATTTTTCTTTTTCCATCATTAAAGTAATATCCAAAATCTGAGTGTATTTGACTCTGTGAAGAACAGAAAAAATAATAATGAATTAGATATCGGTAGTGAAAAACTCATCATTAGAGACGCGAATACAGTTTATCGTAAAGAAATGATGTGAACTTATCGAAAACAAGATGATTAATACCTGGATATGTTTCAGTAAAATGATAGATCTTTTAGTCCACAAAAGTTTTTCAAAGTATAGATAATCTTAACTGAACATTAGAGTAATTCATTTTTGTATTAGTCGTTTGAATCTTCTCATTGATCTTTAGGACTGTAATTGATCAGTCTATTATTAGATCTCTTGTGTTTATTGATGTCTATTATTAAACTTGTTTTTGTCTTAACTATTTCTAACATTGTCAATAGTTGATGTTTCAAAATCGCAATGTACAAAATGTTACCTCTACTAAACGACAGACATAAGAAAGCCGATTGATCCAAATGCATTTTAAACCTTTTACTGTTTCGGCTAGTGTTTATTAGCCATCCAGACTCGATTAAATTGGAGATGAATTATTGGCAAATCTTACGGTGATAATTTATTTAGCGAGGCTATAATTTATGGACGAACTGATCAGATTTAGGATAACAGGTCTCAAATTTTTGTGCGAAATTCATTCATCCATTTGGCTAAATAGCGTTTTGTCGTTTAAACTGATGTCATTTCGTGATGAAAGTATTAAATCTAATGTTTAACTCCAACCGCAACCATAATCATCTTGATTCCTCACACTGGTTTATAACTCTCATTTAACAATAGCAAGTAGGTGGACACATTAAACGTCACATTAGCGTCGCTCAAAGGTCGTCCATGAATTATTGTCACACCATTTATTTAACTACGAAGTTATTGAATTTTAAAACAATCCGGTCATTCATCTTAGTGCTTCAGCTACAAATCCATTTACGTCTGATGGATTTCAATATTGATTTGGTGAGTTATTATTAGATAAACTCTAAGGTCATTTTATATAACTAGAGTAGTTGTATACGAGGATACGTTTCATATCGCCGATAGTCCTGTTCAGCAAAGAAAAAATAGTAAGAAATTATTGGGACTGTTATTCTAGTTTTCATTAGGTTGCACAAAATAGGTGAATTAATTAATCCACTCTAAAAGATTCATTCTTGATTGAACTTCTGTAATAAACGATGTTTGTCAGAGTCAATAGAACTTTGAACATCAATTATTACTTTCAAGTATATGTATGGGAATATGGCATAATAAATAGCGACAGAGTAATCATATTTAATTTTGGCTGAAGGTTTTCTATAATCATTTTTACTGTTGATTATTATAAAAGTATTACATAGCATAATCCCTCATAAAAACGCAGAACAACGTTTTTAGAGCTAACATTTTATTTCAAATCACAAAACTTCTAATAACTGAGTTACGAATTGACTCAACAGAATGGATTTCTGTTGTGTTAATAATAACAGATTATATTGAATAAATGTTATCTGAACCAACTGAACTGTTCCTTAGCTTCTTATAACCTGGAATCAGGGTATATTCGCAAAACATTATTCATGTTCATGAATAAATATTACTCATTACAACAGCATAGTTGAACTACAGAAGTCAATCTGTACTTCCAGAAAGTAAAGTTAAAAATATAAAATATAAAACAGTAAGAAATATAAGCGGGCAAATGTACTAATAAACTAAATGAATAAATGAGCATATGAAATGGATAAGCTGGTGTGGAAAAAAATATTAGTGGCAATATTGAACTCGGTTTGTTTTAATACTTCAATGAAAACTCTATACGATTGAATCACTTCTTTGAATCAAAAAAGATAATAATGTTTAATTAAATAAGATCTAGTCAAAAAAAGTGATACATAATGATGATATATGAACAATCAATTTTTTGAATTAGAACTTATTCAACAAAGTCAAATGTATGGGTTACTTTAAATGATGCCTTTAACTAGGAAAAATGTTATAGTGAATTCTCTACATCTAGTGTTTATTTCATCATGTTATCTATTTTATGGTGGTGAATAGCGAAAGACAATCGGATGTATAGTATCATACTCTATTTGTTATCTGTACTCTATAGATAATGAACTAATGAACTAAGAAAAGGTGGAAATTCCAAATATTTCTTTATTTTCTTAGTTGATCTTGTTTAAAAGATTAAATAACAATTAGTAAATTTAATTAACAGAACAGGGAGATTTAAAGTAAAATGACCTCACTGGTAACTGTTCAGTTCATACAATCAATCATTAAGAAGTTCATTTTGTCAAATGTGATTTGATTGTGTGTAATTATAAGTAATGGTTTCATTGTCTTAGATAAGCAATACGTATATAAATGATTCTTTTATTCAATATACAAAATATTTAAGTAGTATTTATTTATTACTAAAAAAGTGAGATTTTATTTTAAAGCAAATCAAATGAGGATTTTACATAAAGGAGTCACTAATGAGTGGGTAGACATTTTAAAAATGGGTAAGATATTACTGATATAAGTTAAAGTAGGGTAAAGTTTGATACTCGATTTCACATGGTAAAGTTATGAAACTCTACGGTAAGAAAATCAAAATGTGAAAAGCTAGAAAAAATATAATTTATACCAATAGAAGTTATAGAAAAAACTAACTAGGTTTAATGTCAACTTCGTGTTTTTGTGTGAAGTGTAATTGATGAGTTACGTAAAACTAAGCGAAACAGAATTTTGGGCATAGTTTGCCTGAATACAGTAATGAAGTAATTGGTGACTATACATCTCGATATTTTCAAAATGTTTTTTTCCTTTACATTAACATTTATGTCACGAATAAGTATTGATGGTATATTTAGCATTGTTTTAAAATAGGTTCAATGCTCAAAGACTGACATCTGATAAACTTCGTCTTCTTATTGCATTATCGAAATTTATCAAAGGGACTAATTGTTTTAAATACTCAATTTTATTATTCAGTAATTAAATGCTAGATGTATTGTAAATCTATAGAAACATGAAGAATGCATATTATCTGATAGTGATTATTAGTTTTACTTTGTTATCATTTTGCATAATATCATTTCAAAGCATTATTATTTGTGCAGCTACCTTAATTTAAAGTTATATAATCACTGAACATATATATATATATATATATATATATATATATATATATATATATATATATATAATTTGGATAGTTTATTCATGAAACATCATGAGTATATTACTACTTAAACTAGTGGTTTAAATGACCTGGTTTCAATAAACAAAGTTAAACATTATTACCGTTTGATGTCGGTTCAGTGGTCTAGAAGTTAAGAGTTTGCAGATGAGACCGAAAGTTCTGAGTTCGAATCCCGCAAGTGGGATCGTGGGTGAGCACTATTGACGAATTCTATACTAGGACGAAACGGTTGTTCAGTGCTTTAAGATTTTCCATAGTGATCTAGCTTTAATTGACTCATGAATTCAACTATTAAATCAACCATAATTAAATAAACTTATGCTTACAAATATCCTTTCAACTTATTTGTTTTATACAATTCTTGCTGTTTACCATATTTGTATAAAGCAAGAAAAACAAACTTACCAGAATAATTATCATTCATTAATATTACATAAAATTGTATTAGGTTAAAGAGAATTTACAGAATAAGTGTATTCATATTGTTCTGCTACATACATTCTTGTTTTTCTCTTTACAAATTTATTTATTTTAATTTAATCATGTTAATAGAATATTACCATTTATGAAAATTCATCTACAATGAAAGTTTAGAAATAATCATCTTGTATTTGAAAATAATCTAGGTCCATTGAATCCTCATCGAAGTGGCACACACAAACCTTCCTATAGATGTCACTCCACCAACAACCGAAGAAATCAAGATGACCATCAGACAAATCAAGAACGGGAAAGTAGCATGACCTGACAATATACCAGCTGAAGCACTAAAGTCAGACATCGAAGTAACTACAAATGTGCTTTCACTTCTATTCAAAAAGATTTGGGAGGAGGAACAAGTGCCGAAGGAATGGAAAGAAGGATAGTTCATCAAGATTCTACAGAAAGGAGATCTGAGAAAATGTGAAAACTACACAGGCATCACGCTACTATGGGTACCAGGAGAAGTTTTCAACAAATTGTTGCTGAACTGAATGAAAGACTCAGTAGACAGACGCCCAACTTCGAGATTAACAGGCTGGATTCCGTAAGGATAGGTAATGCACAGATCGAACCGCGACACTACGGATCATCGTTGAACTCGTCACTATACATCAACGTCATAGACTATGAGAAGGCGTTTGACATTGTGGATAAGAAAAAAATATGGAAACTTCTTCGACACTATGGGGTTCCTGAGAAGATTGTCAACATTATCCGGAACTCATACGACGGACTACAGTGAAAAGTGATTCAGGGAGGACAGCTGACAGACGCATTCCAAGTAAGGACTGCAGTGAGATAAGGCCGTATACTCTTCCCCTTCCTCTTTCTTCTGGTGATCGACTGGATTATGAAGACCTCGACATCAGAGGGAAAACGCGGAATACAATCGACAACTCAGAACCATTTAGACAGTTTGGACTTCGCAAATGGCCTAGCCCTGGAGGAGGTGGAATCTTTCACGTACCCGGAAAGAATCATTGATGGACAGGGTTTTTTTGATTCAGACGTAAATGAGAAGATTGACAAAGTCAGGGCAGCATTCCTACAGTTGAAGAACATATGGAATTTGAAACTACTGTCAACCAATATCAAAGTCAGAATCTTCAATACGAACGTCAAGACAGTTCTACTATACGGAGCTGAAACTTGGAGAACTATTACAACCATCATCAAGAAGGCACAACTATTTATAAACAATTGTCAACTCGAGATGCTTAATATTCGATGAGGGGATAACATCAGCAACACCCTACTGTGGGAGTGAACAAATTAGGTTTGAGCTGTGGAGGAAATTTTGAAAAGACGTCGGAAGTGGATAGGACACACAACGAGGAAATCATCAAATCGCATTACAAGGCAAGCCCTAACTTAAAATCCTG